AGGAAGACAAAAAACATGCCTTGTGAAGAAAGATAGCATTATGTGTTCTGGCAAAAAGAAGTTTGATGGCAACTTTATAGTCTTCAAAAATGTGAAAGGCTTATGAAAACAGGAAGTTAATAATCTTTGTGATATATTCGTGACAGACATGGAAGCAGTTACAACACTGCAACAAGACAGAGATGAAGAAAACATGAAAACAGAAAAAGTATAGCAGAGAGTGCCTGAGAAGTGGCATGTATTTATATTAAAAAAAACCACACCAACAAAACAAACCCACCCCCCCCAAAAAAACCCCACCTAACCAACCCAAAAAAAAACCAACAACAAAACCAACAACTAATGTCCATCACGAAGAGGGAAGATACAACAGATCCTGCCTTGGGGTTGTACAATGAACCACTGGAGCCCCTAAGGTCCTTCCTTCCTGAACCTATGTTTCTATGCTTTTCAAACAAGATGAAGAGCTGTATTTGCTTCTTTTATCCTGTTCCAGAGTTGACATGAAAAGAAACATGTAAATGATTTCTCCTTTGACTGTCAGCCAACTGAAATAAATTCAGTGGAGCTTGCATGGCCTGGTTTCCTGAATCATACGTATGTTTTACTATTGACATTAATGACCACAGGAGCACACATTGTCTTCCCTTCTGTTTGGTTGCCTGTGTACTGGAGACAGAGCTTTCCCTCCAACAGACTGTATCAACACCAGGTTCCGTTTCCTTCATCTATATCAGTGAGGAAGTTGCATTCAAACTTACCAGAATATAAACAGTAAATATTATGATATATTTAGTAGGTTACTAAATATTTCTACCAGTAATAATCTAGTTAGCCAGTTGTAGTTCATGCTCCAGACCACAAAAATGTTATAGTGAAGTGTGGTTGATATATATAACTTGCCACAAAAATGTTTCCCTCTAAACTGTCTGAGCACAAGGTAACAGATTTATCATAGAACAAATCTGACACAAGGTCAGAAATGCCCTGCAACAGTATATCCCCCCTAAGCCTCATGTTACATCCATGCATTTATCTTCCTCGAACTTAAACATAATGCATCACTTATTTCAGTAACAGCTCACTCTTGATGTACAAAATGGAATTCTTTGGTTTCAGTTGGGGTTCTTTTGCTTTGTTTTCCTGGCAAGGCTTTCGTAGCTGAGAAGACTTCACCATCAGCAGCACTGCCTTAAAGATGTTTTTAATCAAACTCATCATTTTAATATCACAGTACCCTATATCTTGCAAGGATACATTTTGCATAATTCCCGCAGCCAAGTCCTAACTTTAAAGGGCACGGTTTTCCTCCCACTAGGATTACAAAAAATGTACTAAGTACATCTCTCAGGCTTCAGCACATCATGACTGTGCTAGCCGAGAGCTGGCAGTCATGATTTCAGCCACCATTTTCAGTTGTCCAAAGCCCTCCTTTCATCATCATCATAGCCTTGGGCTCCCTACCTTGGTTTCAAGAGTATGTGGGAAGCTGAGAGAGGCCCATATGAACCATCTGTGACAGCAGCAGCCTGCTCCTACTCACCCTTCCTCCAGGTGTTGCTCAGATCTCTACAGCTGCAGGCAGAGCAGCAGCGTGCTTCTTTATAGGTGTTTGTGTAAGGGTTCCCGTAAATGCATGTGTCAGAAAACATGACGCGTCCAGGAAACAATGAACCTTGTGTATACATGTTGCACACATGGTCTGCACCTCTACAGGAAATCCAGCACCCCTGGGAAGGGGTGAAGAGACACTTTTGGGACAAGTCTGCTGTTTATAAGGAATAATGCCCATCTTATGGTGGGAAAGAGCTGTCTAGTATTTGACTCCGTAAGGTGGTGGACGTCTTCCTCAGCTGGAGAAGCACAGCATCAGTGACGCACAAAGTGAAGGCCTGTTTGGTGTCAGCCATTAACACTGTGGGCATAACAGTATGTCATTTGGGTTCCTTCTCAAGGAGAGGGCCAACCTGGAGAACCCAAGTTATAGCTAGAAGCATGGCCAGTCAAGATCAGCACTAAACAATCACCAAAGAATTGTTCATAGCAGACTGACAGGAACGTGACTGCCACTGGAAAGGCGTGTCTCCTGAAAATGGCATTCCTAATATTTACGAGCTAATAGGAGGTTGTCATTTTACTCCATTTATCAAAGAGCACCGACAGTACAGTAGCTACGCTGAATGTTGCTTTGAAATCCTCTTGCTAAAATTTCAAAGGTACTTCAGCAATGCGAATATGCTGACTTTTCTTTTTTTTTACAGCTTCAGAAAAAGGATAAATAAGTCTTTGTCTTAAAGAGCAATCAGTTTGCACAAAATCACACAGGAAGTTGTGGTGAAGCTGACAATATTTCACAAATTATGTCCTACTTTGCTACTTTCAACACAACACGCTTTGTCCCCACTGTCTATTGACTATGTCATATGATGATCATGATAGATATGATGGCCCACACCATGGTACTTAAAACCAATTATTCACTCAGTTCTGTTACACAATAAATATGCTTCTGCACTATATATTTATTGTATTGCATATTTATTGATCCAAAGAAATTAACAGAAAACAGAAACTAAAGTTACATTGATTATTTCAACACTCCATAAACTATTTTTTCTTTAAAGAAACTGTGCTGGGTACCAGCACCTGTAGGATGCTAGACAACATTAGACATCACATTCAAAGAACACGGTTATACACAACCTCTTGTCCACAGTCTTCGCTGTAATGGTGAGCGTCTTCTCAATCATCAGTCTGGTTCTCAATCATCAGCTTTTACATCCCTGCATTGGCTAATGCTGCATAGACTTCATTCATTTAGTGGAAGCAATAACATCTGCATTTCATAAGCACATTTAGATACTAATGGTATTGGCTTTTTAACAAGCAAAATTGACATTGTCGTTACCTGTTGATGACAAACTCAGAAATCACTGAAAGGTTATCAAATAGAAGAAGATGATGCAAACCACAAAAATATCCTGTCTGAATCAATTTTTGCCATCTTAAATGGGACAAGTGATTTGACTGCATCATGGACTTGAGAAGGTTCCCTGGACTTATGACACACTATAAAGTTAATTTTGTTGGGGTTTGTATTTTGCCCTTTAGCAACCCTCAAACATTTCCTAAAACCTACAAGCCAACAGAATTAAAGCTCCAGTTATGCATATCTTCACCAGTGTCCCAGAAGAGCCTAGGCTTAGTAGACATGCTCAGAGCACGTGTAGAACCTCATAGCAGAAGAGGCATCAATAGCAGCCAGGAACACTTTTATCCAGAAAAGCAGCTGGAAGGATTGTGATCTCCTTAAGCAACAAAAAATGTATTTTTTTTTAACACCTACAATGTAGATGGCACAGACTCTCACCTACCAGAGTTTCAAATCCTCATCTCTGAATACATTGCAACGACCACTTAGGAGTTTGTTGATTTGAGGGGGTAGGAAGTGAAAGGTAAACCCTGACTTCTACCTTCCCAACCATCGCAGCTGGGCAACCTCATGAGAAAAAAACATGAAACAGAAAAAGAGAAGATGCGCTCTTTAGTCATAAAACCAGACCTTCCGCCTGCAAAAAATGACCCGGGTCCAAGCCCCACTTCAGGGACTACAGCATGCATGCTGCATTCAACACTTACTGTAGCATTCATTCAGCCGTTCAAGAACCAGGGCAGACTGCAGGAGGACACATGTTTCCCCGTCCCCACACAAGTGCCCTAACTACTGCACGAGTCTCTGTGACTTGAATTAAAGAATAAAGCTAGGTATGGCTTGAAGGTTTGCTTACCTGGGCTAGCAAATATAACTTGGCTGACCACAAACAGGGGCCTACCCCCTGCAGAGGTGCGATAAGTAACAAGACAGGAAGGCAGGCATGTAGGTAGCAATCTTGAGGCCAGCACGATGTTATCTTGTCCCTGACAAATGGGGGGCTCCAAGAGGGAGGTGGCATATGGTAATGAATTACTGGCAGGATGTTTAAGTAAGAAAGGATAAGCTGAAGCAGTAAAACAGTCATGTCGACCTTGCTGGGAGATAAGGGCTCCAAAGAAGGAACCCAGCTGCCTTGAGAAAGCAATCATCCCGACAGCGAGGAAGACATACGGCCTTCATCCCCGAGACCCCTGCCCACGACCACCAGGAATCACTGCGCGTGCGCGGCTGGGAGGAGTTGAAGGTGGAGACTCATTGTAATAAAGAGCGGGGAAATTTTATGGATATGTATATGCGATTTATGAATATGTAATACTTAATTGTATAAGTTCAAAGGAAATGTCGCAGGCAGCACGCACATATGGAGGAGCTATCCCCTGTGCGTCCAGCGCTGCAATAAAGGATACCTGCCTAATAGCCATCCCGGCTATTGAGTCCTGATTTCACCTTTCATGGCATCAGACTCAAAGCACCTTGTGGGTTCCTGATTTTTAATTTTATTTGTGATTACACTGATCGGGGGATTTTTTTTGTGCGAGCTGTGTGAATGAGCTCTATTGACTTTTACAGGTTGGAAAGGAACAACAGTGACCAGACAGGAAGGGCAGAACACAAGGAGGAAGCAGGAGTGCTGTGAAGATAGCCTGTGGGAGTTGCACAACTATGAACTCTTACCCTGGAGGCCAGCAGTCCTCTTGGGCCTGCACGAACCAGACCACCAAACATAGAATCATAGAATGGTTAGAGTTGGAAGGGACCTTAAAGACCATCGAGTTCCAGCCCCCCTGCAGTGGGCAGGGACACGTCCCACTAGAGCAGGTTGCTCAAAGCCCCATCCAGCCTGGTGTGGACACCCGCCCTGCTGGGCCGCCAGTACACCGGTAACATCAGTTTCCGTTATCTGCTCCACATCCAGCAACACGAGGGCTGCTGCGGGCAGATAAGAGGCCTCCAGCAGACGGAGCCGACTCCTCCCCAGGGAAGACTCCGCACATCCACCTGGGAAGCGCGGGGAGGGCGGCACGGCCCGCCGCTCCTGCCTCCCCGCTGCTGCTGCTGCTTCAACCGGGGCTGAGGGACAGGGCCGGGCCCGCCGCGAGCACCACCGGCCCAACGACTAACGGCCCCGCCGAGAAGCGCCGTTGTGCAACGCGCGCCACCCCCCCGCCCCGGCCCGCTGCTCTGTCACAGACTTGGGGGGGGTGACGGAACCGAAGGACACCCGCAATCACCGGGGCTTGCCGCCGCGGAGCGCCCAACCTCCCTCCCTCCCTTCTTAAGCGATTTCACCGGGACGAAGCCGCCCCCCGCGCCATTCGGGGTCCGGCCAGCCTAACGCACCGCCCTCCGGGGCCTCGCCTCCACCGCTGGCGGGGCGGTGCGGGGGCTGCCGGCGCATGCGCAGCCGCCCGGGGTTTCCGGTAACGGCGCGGGCGCTGGCCGTGCGAAGGGACGGACGGATGGACGGCGGAGCGGCGGCGGTGGAGGTTGGCGTATGGCGCGCGGCTGTGGCGGCCCTGCTGTCCTGCCTGCTGGGCGCCCTGCCCCCGCGCTGCGCAGGTGGGTTCCGGAGAGCGGGCTGGGCGCGGCCCCGCACTCGGGCGGCGGCGAGGGGTCAGTGCGGTGGGGCGGGTACGGAGTCACCGAATGGTTCGGGTTGGAAGGGACCGTACAGATCATGGAGTTCCAACCCCCCTGCCATGGGCAGGGACACCTCCCGCTAGACCAGGATGCCCAAAGCCCCATCCAGCCTGGCCTTGAACACCTCCAGGGATGGGGCATCCACAACTTCTTTGGGCAACCAGTGCCAGTGCCTCACCACCCTCACAGCAAAGAATTCCCCATATCTAATCTAAATCTACCTTCTTTCACTTTAAAACCGTTACCCCTCATCCTATCGCTATACTCCCTCATAAAGAATCCCTCCCCATCTTTCCTGTAGGCCCCATTTAACTACTGGAAGGGGCTCTGAGGTCTCCCCAGAGCCTTCTCTTCTCCAGGCTGAACAACCCCAACTCTCAGCCTGTCTTCACAGGAGAGGTGCCTCATCCCTCTGAGCATCTTCATGGCCTTCCTCTGGACTCATTCCAATAGGTCCATGTCCTTCTTAGGTTGGGTGCCCCAGAGCTGGACACAATACTCCAGATGGGGTCGGGTCTCGCCAAGCAGTGGGGCAGAAACACCTCCCTCAACCCGTTTCCACACTCCTTTTGATGCATCCCAGGATGTGGTTGATTTCCATGGGGAGCGTGGGAAGTGGTTTGGGGCCTGTGCCCCCAGCAGCCCCCCACCGAGACGTGTGACTGTGGGCCACTCCTCCATCAGTCCTGCAGTGGCCGCCCGGTCCCCTGGCCTGTGGCGTGGTGAATGGAAATATGGTCCCTGAGCAGGGATGCAAAGGCATCCAGGCCTTGGGTCTGGAGAGGTGTGTCTGTGTGGATAAATGAGGCTCAGTTTCCATCTAGTGCCTTTGTTTCACTCTAAAGTAGCTGTCTTCATCTTGTCTGCTTCAGGCTTACTTGCTATCTGTGAACTGTAGCTTAAGTGTGGGGCAAACAGGTTTTGAAGTGTATCGGTTTGTTTGAAAGGCATCTCAGTCTAACTGACAGAGCCTACAGTATAAATAAGGAAATAAGAGAATTAAAATTGCAGGATGAGGAATTTTTCTCACAGGATAGTAACATGTGACTCTTCTTACATCCTTATGCAGCAAGAAACAACAATTGCACAAAGCCTTTTTCAAGGGGGAAGTATTGTACAGACCGGAAAAGCTATAAATTACCATCCTACCTATTTATAGGACACTGTGGCATGCAACAGAGAGTAGATGGGCTAAGGTAGTTCAGATAATGGGAATATTCTGCCCATGGGCTAGCGTGTGCATGCTGCTTCTGATGCCACCTATACTCTTGAATTCTGTGTAAGATTATTTTGTTCTAGTTCAGCATACCGAAAAGATGACTAGAGAGAGGCTGTTTTCAGGGCTTCATGCTTTGCATTAATGGTAGGATTTGGGCAAAGGCACAGCTCTGGGATCTCTTCTCTTTCTTTGTTTTCTTTCAGCTGTTTGGGTTGTTGCTGTATTCTTTGTGGTCTGTTCCGCCCCAAATTCCATCCCAAAACTGGAAGTACTGTGATACGGGCAGCTACTTTGATTAACCCACACATATTGTAGCGAATGACTAACGTGCTATACGCTACTTATAGAGTTAGAAGAAATTGTTCTCCTGCAGTGACCTCTCACCTTGTGCCTTGTCAAAACCAGCAGTTCTTCTCTCTGCTCCTGTATAAAGGTTCTTGCAGTAAGAGTTCTCCCAGGTTCTCTAGAGCATCTTTCTGCCCACAGAACCAATACTAGTTGGGTCATTTTTGGTGTGTGTTTGGTTGCGGCTTTGTCTTTTTTTCAGTATTGCATATAACAGGTCTCCTTTCCTTCCTATGGTGAAAGGTTGAGGTAAAGTTTCCATTGGTTTTGTCACATATTTAATGTGATAAGCAATGAGCCATTATGTACTTGTAATGGGATTTCCCCTTCAATGTCTCATGAAGGAGTATATTTCTGGCCTGCTAAGACTACTTTCTTCTTTTGTGGAATGGCTTTTTTATTATTCTGTAATGTTATATAATGGTTATTATTTTTAAACATAATCATTTAATAATTATTTTCAATACATTATAAGTTAAGTAGTGATGTGTATTTATTAGAACAATTTTGGGTTTATTTCAGTTTATTAAAATTTGACAGAGGAAGGAAGATAGGCAATTGTGCTAAAAAAGCTTTTCTTGCCATCAGTCTCGTCTTCCCATGAAAATCTAATCTCTTATAATGTTGTTGTCCTTAGCACCAAAGTGTCTTTGTGCTTTAAGTGAAGAAACATGAATTAATTTTAAATGGCTGGCTTTTAATTGTCAGTAAAATAAACCAGGAAGAAGTCTTGACTTTTTATATTACTTTGTTTATCTGGTTTCTAGCTAGATCATGGAATTTCCCTAGTAATTAAATGTTACTGAATTTACTCCTTCATTCCTGGATTGCTGTTCATTGGGATTGAAGAAATTAACTTGGGGAAGCAAACACAAACCACTGGAGATAGGGAGTAGTAAGATAGATGGTTGGATCACCTATGCATGTCAGCAGTATTGAGAACAAATGTCATGTTAAATCAACCTGAATTTCTGGTATTCTAAAGTAAAAGGCTATGTGGATAGAGGAGCTCCAATTGCATATATTTTGGGTTAGTATTGCTGTTGAATCTATATTGTATACTAACCTCTTAAGCATACTGGAAAAAATAATCTATGTCAAACTGCTTCAGTATGATTTTTTCAGCTCATCAAAATTTTTTTACATCTCACTGTCAAGAGGGAAGGATGTATCAAGCAGGAACCTGCCAATAATCTGTGTGATAGAACACTGTAAGCTTATTAAATCCACATATAACTAACTGGAGGAAGCTCATAGGTGTTTTGAAAAGCAGGTGTAGAATCAAGAAGTATCTTTACAAACTGGAGATACACTCCAGATAAAAGTACGATGGCATTGAAAAAGGATGTGTGCAGGGCTGTGTACTTGGGCAAATAGAAGATGATAAAAGATCGTCTAAATATCAGTTCTGGGGTTAAAAGAAAAAGGGTGCAACACTACAATGCCTTGTAGTTTATGTGTAGGAGTTTAAGTGGTGTTATAGAAACCCCCAAAAGTATTGGGGCACAGCAGTGCTAATTAGAGTTAAATGGTTTGTCCCTCTGTTTTGTAAGCTAGACTTCCATTTGTTAATCTCAGCTGGAGTATTGTAATTTTCTGAAGTATACTTCTTCAAGCAAGTTCAACCATTTGGAGAGAATACCAAGTCATTCAGAAAGCTAGAAAATTGGGCTTAAAATGAAAAGAATTGTTGCTGCCATTCATTTTTCTCCTTATCGTTAGTAATGTTTAACATAGTTTTCAAATACATCTGATGTAAAGAATAATGTGCTTTAATATCCATAGACAAAAAGTACATGGGCTAAATGTGCTTAGAGGAGACATAGGTTAGATTTTGGGTTTTGCAATCTGTAAACTTTGTTGTCCATGGACTATAAGCAACAACTAAGCATCCTTGCTGTAAGGAAACTTGGATCTGTTCTGCAAAGATCCAGGCCTCCAACAGAATCTACTAGGAAATCTCATTTGGGAGTTCTTTGCTTTTGATTTACAGAAAGCTTTCTCTAATGGTAAGGATAGTGAAATGTTTCAGGAGATCGGAGGCATGTAGAAACAGATTATGCAGTGGTGGAAACCGTAGGACTTCTCTACACAAACATCTGATGATGTACATAGAATTGCCCACCTGCTTTCTCCAATGTGAAGTACAGGTGATTTTGCAAGGTTTCTTCCAGCTCAGTTTCTGTGCTTCCAGTATACGAATGGGTGATTAGGAAGTGTTAAAGTGCCAATTAGTGATCATTAACTTTTACAAATTCTAAGCAAGGACGCTTCTCAGAGTATAAAATTATAGTAGGCTTTCTCTTTATATCCTGCTTTTTACCTGCAACAGGAGATGAAGTGAACAGATGAAAGTGCATAATTATGATCTGAAACCCTCAATAAATAGGTATTTGAATTTGGATAAGAAATTTGATTTCCCGGTGAAAATAGTTTGAATCATTAGGGTTGGGTGTCAGGGCTGGGAGATCCTTCTGAAGCAATAATCTTGTTATCTGACCAGGGCAAGGAGGAAAGTACCTAATCAAGCTTGAGATACATCTACAAAGAATGATGTGGGTTTTTTCAGGTTTTTTTCGCTGTTGTGTTTTCTACCGGATGACGCCAAGAGGCTGTCTAGGCCGGTGCTCGTCTGCAGCAGCAGTTAGTAGGGGAGCAGAAAAGAATAAAAAAGGAAGTATGTGGTGACACTTTACAACATTGTGTTACAGCAATTTGTTGCGTGGATATTTTGTATTTGACTCTGAGTTCATAAACCAGATAAGAGTTGAGCAGAGTCCTAGGGGAAGGAATTCCACAGGTTGACTAAGCGTTTGGTGAAGCAGCAGTTTCATTTGTGTCCTCGGAGCAGAGTGGTGCTTGTTCTGTTGCTTCCGGCTTCGTGCTAAGAAGACAGTGAACAATCTTTGCATTCCCCATGCCACTCATCAGGTGTCTGTAGATCTGCCATATCCTCCCCTCAGTCTCCTTTTCAAGCTGAAGGATCATAGTCTTATTCTTCCCAAGACAGAAGCTGTTCCATACCTTGCATTGTCCTTGTCACCCTTCTCTGCCTTATTCTGTTCTGCTATCTGCTTATGAGAGTGGCACCCTAGGGCTGCACATAGTGCTGAAGATAAGTCTATAATGAATTTATATAATGACATTGAGCTTTCTATTTTACTCCATTGATTCCGTATCAGTTTCTAATTTTTTTCTACTTTTTGACTATTGCTGTGCACTGACCACAAGTGCTCACACTTGTACATTATTGTTGAACGTAACACTGAACAGCCTTCTGAAAATTACATGAAGACTCTAGGGTATTCCGTGAGTAATTGTTGCAAGTTGCTTTTAATTGTGTAGTGGATTTTAAGTCAATTTTACAGGTGATGTCTCTGAATAGCATGTTTATGTTCATTAAAGTTCTGTAAATGCTATCACCTGTTTCTGAAAACAGGTCTTAATGCCTAGTTTCAGCAGTTTGTGAGGAGGATTAAAAAAGGATAAATGTCAAGATGGAGTCCAGCTTTGTTCAAACCTGCATGGGGAAACTCTCAGAGAAAGAGGCAGTCAAGTCTGAGACTTGCAACAGTCATTTTCTGGACTTTTATCCAAACCTGTTCTGGAATAAATCCTTTCTGATTCACTGTGTGTGCTCTTACTCGCAGACTGGAATACAGTATCTTCTTCCAAATGTCAGAATCCAGAGCTGTATTTTTATTATATTGTTTGTACCCAGAGGGAGGATATGATTATTTGCTGTGGTGTTTACCAGCTTTAGAAAAAACTGGCCTAGCTCAAATGTTAGTTGCATGTCTTACGTCAGCATGTTTTTTGTAACCTGGGTAGAAAGTATTTCTGGTTAGAACATGAATATTGAAATTACTTTGGGTTTGCTTCCAGATTTCTTTTTTTCTTATCTAACCACAAATGGACAAGGTCTTCTAAGAATTATTGTAAAGCTTCATGCAACATATAAGATAAGGATTTGAAAATGTGGGAAAGATAATCTTGAAGCGCAGTGAATATTTCATTTTCTCCCCACGGCAAACAAAATAATAGTCTTAACATTTAGTAGCATTCTTTTATCATTGTTGGAGCTCTGTAGGTGCAATGTGGTTATCAGCTAATACTAAGTTATCTAATCCTACATTCTTGGGTTTACTCCAAGGTTCTATGTTGTTCAGAGTAAAGAATGTACCTGTGGTAGGGTTCAGAGTAAAGAATCCTGTTGTAAAGACTTCTGCTTAGTACTGCCATGGCAGGTTTTTAAATCTGGTATGTGTGCTGCTAGAGAGCTGAGGAAACAATGTCTCCCTTTCGGTCTGTTCAGGTTATTCAAATGTCAGTTGAATTGCATTCCAAAAAGACAATTTGAAACAAGTTTTATGTCATACTGTTTATTAAGATCTTTTACAAATAAATATTTAGATGAGATTCAGTATATGAATTTTATTTTTTTAAGTCTGCAAATACGTGAATGCATGTATTTACAGGGAAAAGCACTACTTTGCACTTTAGATGTGAAAGATACCAATCTGATGATTGATGTTTCTTTAGAACCGAAACTGTAAATGTTATGCTTAAGAAAGTGAGATTCTAACATTCAACCTATCAAAAAGGCTCTAACAGGCTTATACTTTCTATGGTAATAGCAGAGTTGTGCTGCCTTTTTTTTTTTTTTTTTTTTTTTTTTTTTAATTATTACTAAAAGCTAGTGGAACTTTTTTGTTCCAGGCTTTTCAATTCTTAAGTTTATTGCAAACAGTCCCATTACCTGAGTATTTTCTTTGTGAAAGAATATAAATAGTCAAGATTTCTATTAGATGCCAAAATCTGAAATAGCTGCCATTGTTATCATAAGCTTTGTGACTGAACTATAGCCATCTGTTGGATAAATTTATGAAAAAAAAAATAGTTATTTCCTTTGCTTTCTTATTTTCTGCTGATCAAAGTTAGTTTGGTATTCTCTGGACTTATCTTAGTCTGTCAGCTTAGAAGAGTAACAAAATAATGCGTTGTGGAAATAAATTCTCTAGTGGGTTGCACGAGACTTTATTGAACTATTTTCCTTTCAAGTTTTGTGTTTTCGGGAGTTATTGCCAAAAGTCAGTAGTCTATGGATAACACTTTAACTCTGTTCTCCAAAAGGACCTTGCAGACTTCAGTTTACAGATTGCTTTTCCCACACACATTTCCTTTTTATAAAGATAATTTGGTCATCATGTAAAATATGAAATAGTGTAATTGTAATTAAGAGTGACTCTTAAAATCAAATTCAGGATAACCCTTTACATGTGCAAACAGACTTTGATTGTCCAGGTGAAATATGTATTTGTTCTGTTTTCTTCCTAATACAATCAAAGAATAGACTGTCAACAAAAAGCAATTTCATAGTGATGGCCACCGATGTGTTTTTAGACGTTGTAGCCATTGGAAAGTGATTAATAGCGTAACACAACTGCTTAAAATAGAAAGTCAAGACACAGAGGTATGTGGTGATTTTACTTTTTTAAATTTTTTTTTCCCCTGATGTTAGAAGTTGAAAGTGCATTCTTAGTCAGAGGACAGAGGTTTACACTGCCTGAATAGTACATTGCCTGGGTTGTCAAAGATACTTTGTGTAGGGTACAAGGCAGAAGGACTTAGATGAAGTTTAAGCTCTGTAAAGCTGGATATGGCTGCTTAGTTGGTGTTTTTGGTTTAATTCTAGTGACTTCTGTCTGAGGTTTCCTCAGTTCATGCATATTCCCTGTGCCTTCACGCTGTTCCTTCACACTCTTTCCCTTTGCTTTGTAAGCCTTAGTCTGGTTTAGTTTCCTAGTGCTAGAAAACATTCAGTCCAAACTTTTGGCCCCGATTGAAACTTTTTAGCCTCACTGCTTTGAAACAGTGCTGTAGATTGATGTGAAATAATTCAAAGCAAAACGTCCCTTAAAAATAGCTAGATAAATCTCAATTTTCATTAAGTATCAGGATAATTCATTTTCCCACAGCACTGTTCCTGTCATCTGACCACTGATACCTGAATTATATACCAAATGGGACACTTAGGATTTTCATATCTCAAAGTTAATGGTAAAGAAGTCTTATTCAGGAAGTGGAATATAAGGTAATTATAAGGCAGTTGGAGTTTTTTTAATAATTATTTTTGAAAGGTGAAAAATAAAGAGGAGAGAGCACTATTCTAGCATGCATGCATCCCTCCTGTTGGCAATTTACCTCTTAGGCCTTCTTTTCTCATGGTCTGGTCCCTCCCTTGGTGTTATGGACATTCTTATGTGTCCTGAGACTTAGCCCTTGCCCTCCATAAGTCATTTTATGCACTGTTCTTTGTGTAAAAGAAAGCATGGGATTACCGTGAGCAAGGTACAAGATTTGATGTGTGCTGACGCCTCACTGAAAGGGATTTATGTTCAATATATTGAATTTATGGCAGTAACACATGACATAAGACAAGTCTACTATGCTCAATCTGTTCCGCAACTGTGAAATGACAGCATTATGTCAATCTGCTCTTTGCAGCTGAGACCCAGATGTTTAATTCAACCAATAAAATACTGTTTTAAAAGCATTCAGACTGCTTATAATCAATCCATGATGGTGAACACAGGCCTTGAATGTTACAACTGTATATACGTTTTGTTAAGGAGGTATCAGGAGAAAGACTTTAAACACAGAGGAAAGAGCTGCGTGGTCAAATAGACAAAGGAGCTACTTGATGCGCAGCTCCTGAGCTCTATATTTGAAGTGCCCTTTGACTAGCATGGGGTTTTCTTAACTCTTATGTTTATTGTTACTTCATTTCACTATAGCACTCTACTTTTGTTTAAAAAAAAAAAGTAAGTTATCATTAAATTATGTACAAGTTATTTAGCCCAGTTCTGAACCACCTTGATGTTACTTTCTTGTAGGCCAAAGTAATCTGAAGAGTCCACAGGATATTCAGGTCTATGTTGTAAATACGAATTTCACTTTAAGGTGGAAGTACACTGGGAATGACACCGATGTGACATTTTCAGCAGAATACCGGTGGTAAGTATAACTTTATTCTGAGCCAGAAAGGTCTGATGCTTATTTGCATAGAAGAGCGTATTAGTTAATTGTTATGCTTCTTGATACTGCCATGTAAGACTTATAGAGACTTCTTGAAATCCAGAAAGTAGAGGCCAGGAAGATTAAGTCTTGAAATGAAGTGGAATCATAGTATTGTCCTTCCTTTGTCTAATTCATATGTAAAATTAGAATGTTCACTGATGGTCAAATCTTATAAATGCAGAACACACTTGGTAGTAATGCTTAATATTGTAGTGGTTCATTGAGAAGATTAACTGGTACACTTAGAAATTTTTATTCTCTTGTTTTTTTTTTTAACTAAGCTACATTGTGGCCACACACAAGGTATGAATGTTGACATACGAGTGAATTTTCAGTGCAGCTTTTGAATAATTTACCAGTGTTTTGCCCTCTGCAAATTTGCCATCTGCAAATTTTAATCATCAGATGAAACACTTAATTTTTGTTCTTAAATATTTGCCTGGGTTTCATTGTTTCATATACCGATACTTATGCATGCATATACACATACATTTGGTGTTTTGTGGCACTTTCCTGGCAAGTAAATATTAAAAAACACTTCTAAGATAAAATAACTTAAGAAGTTCTTGGTTTTAGGGATTCCTAGGGTATGATTTTGGATATTTTTAAAAAGCTTACCTTCTTCAATGTGATGAGAAACAGCTGCTTTGAAAATAGTTCTATTTTAAAAATGCAATACTGTTCTGAAGGATAAGATAGGAATTGAGGATAAACAATTCCTACTTCAAGTCTGTGCATTTTTTGGTTTTTTGGTTTTTTTCTTTTTATCAGGACATATTTAATCTCTATATGAAATGCCTTTTAAACAAGGTATGAATGTCTATTAACTCACAAGAAAAAAAATAGCTTCTGTAAAGCTAATTATTCTAACACTTGTTGCTGAATTCCAGTTTTTTCCTTTGTGTTTCTCTTTTCCCCTAACCTACATTTCTTGCTAATGTTAGAATTGGGGTTATTTGCTGCTTTTATGCTCTTTTAAGCAGTTCTTACCATCAAGGATTTTAAATTTCTTCCAATGGATTATAAATCATTGCCAAACTAGGAACGTGTATTAAGGTTATAATTCTGGGTATTAACACTTTTTTGATGCTGTTTTCTGACATTGTGTGTTTACATGGTGAATAAAGCAAACAGGTATCAGACTTTGCAGACTGATAGTTAAACTTTGGTAATAAGGTTAAACTAATAAATTAATAGATTAATTAATTAAATGGCGATTTGAATTCCAGGGTAACTAAGTAGATAACACTGTTTACACTGATGCTGGTAATAAAACAGCATTAAATGGTGTGACATTTATTAGCATTAAGAAGAAAAGGAAAAAGAATCTCAAGACTTAAGTTGTGTATTGGTTTTATTTTGGGGCCGTTTTATTTTTTACAGGTTTGAAGATTTTGAAGAAGATGGAACAGAATGGAAGAAGTTGCCTGGATGTCAAAATGATACTCGTACAGAATGTGACTTTTCCTCAGCAATAACTGAGTACTATGATAAACATCATTTGCGTATAAGGACTGAAAGAAGGGAAGAAGTGTCTCCATGGTCTAGCGTTTTTGAAATGACTCCGTATGATATAGGTATGAGCTCCATATATACTGTAACATTTTTAGTAAAATGTCCTTCAGCATTACCGTGGAAAACATGTGTGTGGTTTCCATTGCTCATAACAACATGGGGTAGTGGTTTTCTTACCCTTAATGTAGTATAAGTTATTTGCAGGTCATGCAATGTTGTTGTGCTACCATTTCTGGAAAGGGGAAAGTATTCTAAATGATGCTGTTTTTCTGACAGAATTTTCTGACACTCTGATTTCAGAAAAATCCTTTTTGACAATGGATGTTTCTGAAAGTTTCCTTCTGACCTGGTGACTTTTCAGTAGTTACAGTATAGTATGGTACTGAAGCCTTCCCTCAATATTGGATAGATTTGTTTGAGCTAGGTTTCTTGCCTTGCGTGTTTTAGAATAGCTTATACTGATTTTTTCACTGCATTTTCTGGAAAACATTTGCCAGTAATATTGCATTTTAACCCTACTGTTTTAGAACCAGGTAACAGTGGTTGGTTATTAGGTTAGATTTCTGTTACATACTGCCTGAGATAGTTTTCACCAATGATCTTATATGCAATTATTGTGATCTTGTTACTGCCTCAAATTAAAACTAAGATACTATAGGCAGTAACTATGGTTTTATCAATGTAAATATTTTTGGGGGTATTTTTTTCTTTCAGTAGCCATGCTTGACTTTTTTTCTTTTAATATTTGCAGCTCAGATTGGGCCCCCAGGAATAGAGTTGCAGTCCATAAATGGAGTCATAAAAATTAAGGTTTCTCCTCCAGAAGCAAATCAGGTCCAAAAAATGTGGATAGATGATATAAGTTTTAAATATAATTTAGTTATCTGGGAAAATTCATCAAATGCAGAGGTATGATTGCTTTTATCACTTTTTTCTTTTTTTTTATACTTTAGCCTTAATGTAATTGTCAGAGATGGATTTTAATAGCTTCATGCCCTAAAATAGAATTGTTTAATTATCTAACTGTGTATAGCTGTTGCTATGCAGTTTAGAAGTTGGGAGGGGATGTTTTCTTGGAGCTCTTTGGTTTTGTTTTTATTAGAGGATTGCATTAGATATTTTGTGATAAGAGTTTGTATTTCTGTTAAATATTGGGGCCACTTTCCAATGCATGAGGAAGAAGGTGAAACCCTCTCAGATGTGTTGGAGCAGGAGCCACCCTCAGACAGCAGGAACAAGGAAGGGAAAAAGTTGAAGGCAGTGGCAAAAAGCATTTACAGTAAGGCATAGATAAAGTGGGGGGAAGAGGTAAGAGATCTTGCTGAGATCCATATAGCTTGACTGCAGCTGTACTATGTCATAACTAAGTTAATAACTAGTAACTAATATAAGTCTTTATATGGTTGGTTGGGATTTTTTAGGGATTCTTTTGAGGTCTTACAGTTGTGAACAAGTTTCCAAGCCATAATGTGCATCTCACAATCTCACACAGCTATTCTGTAAAGACCAAGGTAGAAATAGTCTTTTTTTTTTTTTTTTTTCAGAACAGTAAAGCAGCATTGTTGCAGCAATATGTGACCTCAAGTAAATGCTGGTATTTTGGTAAAAATTAAAAAATGCTTAAGCTTTTCTGGTAAATGCTATTTATATTTGTTGAGATTTTGATATAAACAGCATTTAATAAGGTGGCTGGGTTTTCCTCTTTTTTTTTTTTTTTTTTTTTTTTTTAATCCTTTTAGGGGAATGGGTGCCACCTAGATTAGGGTAGGAATTGAAGAGTTCAGTCCATGTTCACTTGGGAAACCCAGTCATAATCATTACATATCAAAGGGGAAAAAAAGCTTTGCACTTGGTAGTAGCTTTGTAACAACGATCAGTCACTGAAAAGTCTGGTAGACCAAAAGCAGGGAGATAACGGAGGGGGCACGGGGGGAGGGCACGAGTGTTCGTTCAATGAATTGAGGGATTTAAGTGTATTATTTCTCTTCTGAGTACAGGCAGAATACTTGTGTTAGAGTTGTCATGTAGAGCGGTGCCGCAATCCCTCCCCACTTTCATGTGTTAAAGAAATACAACATGTTCCTTCCTCTCAATCACATGGATAAGTTGGAAACTTCCCTTTACCATTTATTCAGCTCATATATTGCTCTTCATTCCCAATTTTAGCATTTTTGATGGTGTATAATATAAATGGGCTGAAACCTGGGGAAGAAAAAAGATACTTTAAAAAAAGCAATCAGCTCATCAGGAAGAACAGTTACCTTCATATGCTGTTTACGATTGTCTTTTTACAGTTCAGAAGTCAAAGTATTTTTCCTACTGACAAAATTGATGATCTTGCACCAGACACTACCTATTGTTTGAAAGTTCAAGCAACTTATCCTTTGGAGTCTAAAGAAGGTTTATTCAGTCCCATTCGTTGCATAAAAACTACTCATAAAGGTACAGATTAAAATTGCTTTATCTTAAAATGATTATTCAAGATTAAACTGTTGGAAAGTAAATTGTTCTAAAGCAATAGAAATGTGCAGAAATGCCAAATTACTACTCATTTTGGTATAACAGCAATCTTGACACTTATGTCTATTTTCTATTTTAAATATGTCACCTATCAATATTAGAGTTTTAATAGTACATCCACATTTTTGCTCTGGGGCAAATTCTGTCCATCAATGTGGATTGCAAAAACTACTTTCCGTATTTTGGAAAGATGGGTATTTTTGAGCTTGTCTTTGAATCGGGAGGAAAGGGTTGTGTTTGTAGGTAAAACAAAAGCCTTTTGTATATTTGGCACTAAATGAATGCATGTAAAGTTGAGCTAAGCTTAAAAAAAATACGGGTTTTGTGCAGGCCTTGGTGAATTTATTACTACAGGTTGTGAAGAATGAGTTAATGGCAGTTTGCCACCAGTTGCTTGTTTTGCATGTCTAAACACTTTTATGTGCAGTTCAGATGTCAGTTTAAGTACTTTTAAATGTTTATGTCAGGAAAAAATGTAACTGTGGGAATGTAGAAAGTCAACACATTAGATTGAACGAATAATACATCAAAATTACTTTGTGTTTAGACATGCGTATTTTACACTTTTTTCTCATTGAATTATTACTGAACCAGTTTATTTCTACTGATTTCAACACTTGTGTACTTAATTTTATCTAAATCGATTTTTTGACTGAAGGCTTGATATGCTGACTATATCACGGTCTTTGATTTGCCATCTTTATAATGAAAACAGACCTTTTTTTTTTTTAATTATTGAAAGTGTACCATGACCGTTTAAATGAGAAATGCCCATTAAGTGAGAAATTGCTGTACAAAATATAAAGCTTTTCAGTAACTGTGGATTTCCTTTTCATTTTGAGCAGTGGATGTCCCATTCTGTGCAACAAACGTGAGCATTCTTGCTTTGAATATGAAATTTCATCTGCATTGGGATAATCGGTATAAACAACATGTGAGCTACAACGTGCAGTATCTCAGGCAAGTTAAACAATTTCTATATCTCTGTTTAAACAGATTATGTCATTCTAAATGCCATCTATTGGATTTTGCAAGTAGTTATTAGAAGTTAAAGTGAAATACTTTAGCAGAAGTGGCTTAATGTATTCCTAGATACAGTGTAGCTTTTAAAAGGATTTTGTGTAACATCATATCCGGGAATTTCAGGGTGCTAGGCTTCTTTAGGAGTCTTAAATACCTGATGGAATGGACTGTTGAATATATGCCAAGTAACATCTTTAAAAGGTGTGAAGTTTTCATTGCTTTGTATCTTTTTGACTATGAAGAAATTGGAGGACTAGAAGTGAGCAAAAGCACAGGTGTTCAAAATTTCAGTTGTCAACAAACTTGATTAATTCTGGTCAAATCCCAATATAAAAATACCCATCTTTTCTATAAACCTGTATCTTAGTATCTAGTTGTCACATAAATATTGTGGCCAGCATCTAAGCAAAGAGGAGAGATACCCAAGTCCTTTTAAAGTCCTTTTGGTGTGACAGAAAAATAATTGACTTAATAGAACTATATGAAAAATCTTAGTCTGGATTTTAAAGGTTTTTTAAATTGACCCGTAATTTTTCTGTTGAGGCTTGATGAAAGCACTAGTTTGTATTTCCTGATGCAGCTAACTTCATTGTTTATAAGTGGAAAAAAACCCAAGTATTCTGAATTTAAGAAATTTCTAAGAGGCCCATTCTTCAAGGACCTCACATCAAAACTATTAAAATATCTCTTGCAGTGGGTATCTAAAGAGACTTTATGATGACTACTCAGTGAAGTGGCTCAATGTACCTGGATGTGAAAACATCACTGACACACAATGCAATTTCTCATCTATCATCACTACTGTTTCTGGAACTTTTTATCTTCGTGTGCAGGCCATGAATGAAAATAATAAATCATGTTTGTCCAATGAAGTAAAAGTAATTCCTCTGGTAACAAGTAAGTAAATGTATTTTCTTAAACTTTCAACAAACTCATACCTAATGCTATTACTTAGCAAAAGAAACTTGCTAGATTAATGAAACTGAATACATAGTTCCCCTACAGAAACTGTGTTGGGAATCCTGGCCCCATCAAGTTAAACAGGAGTTTTTCTATTGTCTTCTCTGTTCATCGTAGCCAGTATTTCACTGCACTTAAATCCTATCATTTGCTTTACAAAATTAAACCACAAAGCATTATATGGCATTTTATAATCTCACTGTATGCTACATTAATCACTATGGGATACTGTGGCAGAAATATCCCTAGTCTGACTTCTGCCATTGACAGGGAGCAGTTCTTGGTACCTCAGAAAAACAGTGCCAAAGTCAAATACTTTTGGAATCCATTGCCTGTATTCTCTTGTGCGTCTACTTTCATCTCTTCCTTCTTTCTACCCCGGCACAGTGCACCCCTGAATTTTGTGTTGAAGCAGTATTACATTGGCATACAACCCTGAAGATTTTTGTTAAAATGGTAGTGACGTCTAAGTCAAAAATATGTAACTCTCCAGAGTGAAATTACTGTAATTTTTATCTTTGTTGCACTTTTTTGATTTTGTGAGAAATGTGACCTTATTAACTTTTTTGAAGTTAAACATCTTATCAGTCATAAACTTCAAGAAATGTTTATCTAATATGTAGGGTAATATTCCATTGCCTTGCATATTAAAGATTGAATTAATAGCTATTCTATATGTCAGCTTTCCATTGTCCAAGCTCTTGGTAATTATATAATTCTTTAATAAGATAACAGTGACCTAGGTAAATAATTCAACAAAATAAAACAAAAACTGTAATGCTTCTCACTTTCCAACTATACTATAACAGTGAAAGAAGGTATATGTGAAAAAGAGGGCCCATATCGTGATGAGATTAAGAACTGTTCAGTAGTTTCAATTTGACTTGCACAGAGTTAATCACCGTCTGTGTATTTTATGTCACTGAAACTTGCATAAGCAACATGTGAATCTGGAAAGAAAAAATAAATGAAATATTCCTGAGGAACACCGGATTCCGAATGAAACTTTTAGTCAAGTTAGGCTTTTAAGTATATGTTTCTTTAAAATTGTCATGGATTTAAATTACACTATTTTATGCAATATTTTTATTTGCGTTCTTTCAGTCTTATTTTTAACTTTTTCTTTTTCTGTTTTTTTAATGTCTTAAGATGAAATTGGCCCTCCTGGTGTAAAGGTGGACATCAGTGATGATGTTCTGCTTCATATCCAGATTTATCCTCCAGGAGGATCTGAAAGTGAAATCATGAGGGACAACTATGACTTTTCTTACCGGATTCTGTACTGGAAGAATTCATCGAATAATGAGGTAGGAACCAGTTAAATACTTAAAACAGTATAATCTCTGGAATCTCTGCTAGGGCACATGGAAAATAAGGAGGTAATTGGTGACAGCCAGCATGGCTTCACCAAGGGCAAGTCAGGCCTGACAAATGTGATGGCCTTTTACAACATTGCCACAGCATTGGTAGACAAGGGAAGAGCAACAGGCATCATCTACCTGGACTTATGCAAAGCATTTGACCCATGTCCCACATGACATCCTGGTCTCTGTATTGGGAAGTCATGGATTTGAGGGATGGACCTCTTGGTGGGTAAGGAACTGGCTGGATGGTCACACTCAAAGGGTTGCGGCGAGCGGCTCAATGTCCAAGTGGAAGCCAGTGACAAGTGGCGTTCCTCAGGGATGGGTACTGGGACCAATGCTGTTTACCAGCTTTTTTTTAGACATGAACAGTGGGATAGAGTGTACCTTCAGCAAGTGTGCTGATGACACCAAGCTGTGTGGCACAGTCAACAATGGAGGGAAGGGATGCCATACAGAGGGACCTGGACAGGTTTGAGAGGTGGGCCCACACAAAATTCATGAAGTTCAACCAAGCCAAATGCAAGGTCCTGCACCTGGGACGTGGCAATCCCAGGCACAAATACAGGTTGGGTGGAGAATGGCTGGAAAGCAGTCCTGAGGAGAAGGACTTGGGAGTGATTGTGGATGAAAAGCTCAGCGCCAATGTGCGCTGGCATCCCAGAAAGCTGACTGCATCTTGGAGTGCATCAAAAGAACCATGGCCAGCAGGTCGAGAGAGGTGATCCTGTCCCTCTGCTCTGGTGAGAATCCCACCTGGAGTACTGCATCCAGCTCTGGAGTCCTCAACACAGGGAGGACAAGGACCTGTTGGAACGGGTCCAGTGGAGGGCCATGAAGATGATCAGAGGGTTGGAACACCTCTCCTATGAAGAGCAGTAACAATTTTAAATTGAAAGAAGGGAGATTTAGATTAGATACTACAAAGAAACTCTTCACTATGAGGGTGGTGAGGCACTGGAGCAGGTTGCACAGAGAAGCTGTGGATGCCCCGTCCCTGGAGGTGTTCAAGGCCAGGCTGGATGGGGCTTTGAGCAACCTGGTCTGGTGGGAGGTGTCCTTGCCCATGGCAGGGGGGTTGGAACTAGATGGATGATCTTTAAGGTCCCTTCCAACCCGAACCATTCTATGATTCTATATAAAATTTATTATGATTTAAGTACTGAGTTTGAGTTCTTCTCAAGCTTATTTTCAAAAGAGGTACATATATGGTGTATCAGTCATGCAAGCAATTTGTTGGGGGTGGGGGCAGGATTCTGAAAGATTCTTTTAAAAATCTGATCAAGATTACTTTTATCACAAAGTAATTGAGATTTTATTCTTTTCCCATTGATATGGCTGTAAGTAATGATTTGCAGAATTGCACTGAGTTTTGTACCAGCTTCTAAATGGCTCACTTCTTCAGGTTGTAGGGTTCTTGCGCTCTCTTTCTTGTGGTATGACTCTGTGCAGTGTCTCAATTAATGTAACTTCTGGCTCCTCAGATTCTTTTCTTTCTGTATTTGCAGTTTCATAGCTATATGTATCATAAAACAACGCAATCTTGCATGTTTTTAGCTACATTTTAATGTGTCTTTCCATATTCTTTAGATGCTCCTTATAGTAAAGTATTTTACAGTAATTAGTAAATGTGTAGAATGCATAGAAGAAGAGAAGAAAACAAACTGCAGGACAAAGAAGTTTCATTTTGCACACAGGTTTGAATTGCGACATTTCAGTGTGGTGAAAGCAGTTGGTTCTTGCCAATAAGCATTTCCTGGATGGACTTGCTTAGGAGAGGGTTGTATGATTTAATCCAAGTGCAAAATGGTGTCTATAACTTCTTACAGAATTACTTCTTCGGCAAAGGCCAAAATTCTAATCTGAGTGACTCTTGTACTATTTATGTGCGTCTTATTCTTCCATTTTTTCTTTTTCAGGAGGAAATCAAAATGAAAGAGATAAAACAAACAATAGGGACAATTTCTGACCTAACACCCTCAACTTTGTACTGCCTGAAGGTACAAGCATTCTCAAAAGCTTACAACAAAAGCAGTCATTTCAGCAAAGAGGAATGCATCAAAACACCTAGAGGTAGGAAGAGCTTGGGAATTTTTACACCACTGGGAGTAAAATTGTTAACCCTTCATGGGCCTTTGCACATCTCACTAGTTAAAAAATACTTGCAGCCTGACTTAATGGCCTCATAAAATTAGCACCTAGTTGGGAGAGATCCATATCAGCAGTCCGTCACTTCTCTCCTACAGCTAAACTAATAAACTGCTTCTGTTCTGACCTGGTCAAAATTACATTCTGGTTATTCCATGACACAGCTCAGATTAGAAATTATCTCGAGTTAATAACTATAATGATCGTGAATTAAATTTAGTTCTGTTCAATGACTTTAATAGGCAAGCTTTAATTTCCAGTACTTTTAAGATATTTTTGGTAGAGTGTGCAAGGAATCACTGCGTGTTATGTTTTTAAGAATAAAATATTCTTGAAATTGTCTTAGTTCTTCTGTGAGTGAATTAAATTTTAAAAAATCTTGTGCTAAAGTGTGAGGAGACAAATCATCAGACTCGTACCTGAAAGCTCACTTTTATGCAAAAGGAGAATACATTTGTAGATGGACTACACTCGGAATGTAAGAGCAAGTTACCCATTTAATTTAATTTGGCCAATTGTCTTCTATTAACAGGCTGTAACACTAGAAAAATTACTAAGTATCCAAACTGACTTAAAGCTAAGAAAATATAATAATAGTAAAGCTACTTTCTCACATGTCAAGCTTTTAGGATTCATTCATATCGTAGTCCTCACTCCTTTGTCTTTATCAAGCCTAAAATGAAACAAATGTTACTTTTTCACCTTCATAAGAGAAATTCTTTAATCTATTTTACTAGCTAGTTATTAGTCTTCATATCCTTCAATAGAAGGAAGCCTGTTTAATCAGTACCTTCAAGACTCTGTATTGAGAGACATGCAGTCATACAGATTGCTTCCCGTATGTTCTTGTATCCCAGTGTGGAAATCTTTCATTCCTTGATCTTTCATTCTAACTGGAATTAGAGATAAAAAAAACTGATTGTCTCATCTTGATTATTTTTAAAGTGTCTTCTGGTATGTAGTATTTTTACTATGTTCAAACTCCCTTCAGTTTGTTTGTTTGTTTGTTAGAGATTGTACCAGAGAATATGTTGTGAAGAAGAAGAGGGGAGGGGAGAAGGAAGCTTGCAAGGCTCTTGAACTTAAGCACTGAATAGCTTATGACTGTAGAGATGAAAGGTTTCTTTGACTACAATATTTTACTATCAAAAGCTGGATTCAGTCACGTAAACTCCTTCTACCCTAAAGTCCCAATCTTAAGTCTTGGAACTGAGCCTGGCCTGTTAGAAGGTTTTCCACGGTTCCTGGGTTAATACGGGAATGCAGGGCCATACTTATAGAATGGTTTAGGTTAGAAGGGACTTTCAAAGATCATCTAGTCCCATCACGCTGCCATGGGCAGGGAATTCTCTCACTTGATCAGGTTGCTGAAAGCACCATCCCCCCTGACCATGAACATTTCTAATGATGGGACATCCACAACTTCTCTAAGCAACCTGTTCCAGTGTCTCACCACCCTCATAGGAAAGAATTTCTTATGTCCAATCTAAACCTACCCTCTTCTAGTTTAAAACCATTGCCCTTTGTCCTGTCCCTACAGGCTTTGGTAAAAAGTCTGTCTTATAAGCCCTTTTTAAATATTGAAAGGCTGCAGTAAGGTCTCCCTGGAGCTTTCTGTTCTCCAAGCTGAACCCAAACTCTCTCAGCCTTTCTTCCTAGGAGAGGTGTTCTAATTGTCTGACTGTTTTTGTAGCCCTCTTCTGGACTTGTCTGTCTTATGTAGAAGGCCTCACAGCTGGACGCAGTACTGCAGGTGGGGATCTCATGGAAGTGGAGTAGAGGGGCAGAATCGCCTCCCTCCAGCTGCTGGCCACTTCTTTTTATGCAGCCCAGGATATGATTGCCTTTCTGGACTGCGTGCACACATTGCTGGCTCATGTCCAATTTTTCATCCACCAGTACTCCCAAGTCCTTCTTGGCAGGGCTACTCTCAATCCCTTCATCCTCCAGCCTGTATTGATACTGAGGACTGTCCCAACCCAAGTGCAGGACCTTGCGCTTGGCCTTTCGAATTTCATTAAGTTGGCTTACTCCTTAAGCCTGTCAGGGTCCCTCTGGATGGTGTCTCTTCCTTCAAGCTAATCAACTGCACTGCTGATCTTGGTATCATCAACTTGATGATGCCATGTTTGAGCACTGAAGTCAAATTCATCTTGCCTTTCTCTACTGACAAAGTAAAATCTTGTGCTGATCTACTGTCTAGACTACAGGTGTAGAAAATAACTGGAACAGCCTTAAGATTGATTTCTTGCTTAGATAAGCATCTGAAAGGAATACATGCTCACTGGAAGATCCTTTTGTCTCTATATTGGCTGTGTTGTAGTCATCTGAAGCTTACAATTGGAGTTCCTCTTCTATCCGTGAAAACATTTGGATGCTTTTGGGCCCCTGAAGACCCTGCAAGTCTAGGCACTCTAATCATTTCCTGGCTAAATAACTGTGGGCCAACTTCCCTGTAGTAATTGCCCTTTCTTACTCTATAGCCCATGGGAATTCTTACTCCTATATCTCTGCCTTTTTAAAGAAGAGAGCTCTATCGATTACATATTATGTTCCTTGGGATTAGACACTGTACAAAAGCAATAGTGCAATAGATTTACATGCATCAAGTGCTTCATGGAAGCTAGCTATGTGTAGCCTTCTTGTCTTGCTGTCAAATAGTGACATAGAACTAGAATATAACTGGGATCTTGGTTCTGATCCTCTCTGCGAATGCCTCTGTTCTTATGTTGGATAAGTACTTTGTGCTATGTTTTTAATAAAATTACCTAAGATACTGGAATGGCATCATTTTTGTAATAGTCATCAATGTATTGTAGAAATGTGAAATTTTATGGTAAATACTGTAACAGATTTGGATATAACTCTGTTCTTTGATCTTTGTAGTTTTTGAATACCTAGACTAAATGGTTTTTATTCACTTTTTTTAGATAAAATTTTACCTCTGGTCATTTTAGCAACATTTGTAACTGCTGTGGTTGCTGTGTTGCTTGTGGCTGCACCGCTTATTTTTGTCCTGTATCAAGCCTACAGTAAAATCAAATACGTGTTCTTTCCATCGTGCCAGCCTCCTTTGAACATAGAGGTAAGATGAGAAATATTTTTGCATTTATTAAGCAGATGTATTTTTGGAAAAATGAACAGGAAAATGTTATGAAAAAGTGTTTACCTGTTATCCTGTGATCTTATGGGTATGCCAAGATTAATTGTGTAGGTTTTAACCAAGTGCAGGAATTCCTTTGGGAGAGTGGGTAGTGTCAATTTCTAGAACTCTATTAGTAAATATTTTAATTTTTATGGTTTTTCTGTTCTTCTGTCTGTGCAAAATTGTTGCTAACAGTCCTTCATTCTAGAGGGTGCGCATGTCTACCCAATGCGATAATGTGCTTTTACCCTGCTATGTGAGACTAGAAATACTTTCCTATTGTGTTATCTGCAAAAGCACGCGCTAGCCTTTTTGCCATCCTTTAAAACTCAGAGGAGGCAAAAATACAAGCCCAATCTTTAGAGAAAATTTTGGTGTAGCAGACAGCAAATGCTTCTACCGTGTCCTGACCTAGTGGCCTGGGTGGGCTCAAAAAGGGCAGATGTTCAGTTTCCAGCTCAGCTTGGCACAGGAGTACTTAGTAGGGATCTTGCTCTGGAATAAAAAGGGCAACACAGAAGTGTAGGTATATTTTGAAATGGAGCACAAACTGCCTTTCATACTGTACTCTCTTCTGTGTCTCTCAGAACATTGATACATTGATGTTGAGTAGTGTATAGCCTTCCTAACATGCGTCATCTTCTCACTGAAGCTCCTAAGATATGTAGTATACAAAGCTTTCTGAATAAAACTGTGGTTTAAAATCAGTCTCATAGTTTATAAGGGCTAATCTGAATTTATTTGTAAAACAGCATTTTAGCTGGTTTGTTCAGTAGAATACTGGGAACATAATTAATGAATGCATATTTAGAACCTGTTGTGATGGATTTGATATAAATTTGATATAAATCTCACTTCAGAGAACGGTTATGAAGTATGAAGGATAGACAGCAGTGCGCTATTGAGAGCTGTATAAGGCTTGGTATCCTGCTGCTGCAGCTTGCTTTCTCTTTTCTTCTTTCTAACTTTGCTTTATAATTGATGATTATTTGTAGATTTTTGTCATCCCTGCGCTACCACGTGATGTGTTGAGAGTGTTCTTGGGTGGACTCATATGGCTATAGTCAATCAAATATTGCAATCATACAGATAATTGACAACTGTGAGCATAGCAAGGGTTAAGATTGTTGGTGTCATTCTTTAGTGTTCAATTATATGAATGCAGCTAAACTCCATCCTAATTTTGAATTTGTGAACTTAGGGAAACAAATGGCATATTATAGGTAGAAAAACCTCATGATGCTACTGAACACGACAAATCAGATTTGTACAGCAGTGGTATTAAGCAGAATCATTATTTAGGTGTTATGTATGAATATTCATCTCCTTTTCTGCTTCTCTTTTTGCAGGGTTTCGGAGAACAGCTCTTTAACAGTCCTTATCGGCCAACTGCAGAGGAACCAATAGAAAATTTTTCTATAATTGAGACTATCATCACAGAAGATCTAAATCAAATTGATTTTAAAGACTACAAACATTCTAAACAGAGCAGTCGTGATTCAGGGAATTATTCTAATGATGACGATACTTCAGGGAGCAAAGCATCAGAAGAAATGCTAGAAAAGGAAATAGTATAATTTTTAAGAAAATAAAATTCATATATGGGACTGGCAGCATCATAAAAAAATTAAAACTTTTTTATTATGAAAGTTGCAGCCTAAGGAAGACAGTGTGACTTTGGGATCTTTGTCTTCAGGTTTCCAAATCTGCACTTTGTTAGTGGCAAGTTATATACCCTCTCTGCTGCAAGCTGACTGAAGTTAAAACTCAACTGACTCCTTACACCTTATGCCACTTTGATTCCTCATCATATGATAAAAGGAATATCATCTGTGTAAAGAGGAACAGAATCTACAGTTTTATGTACTTGAACCTGATAACCTCAGCTAAAGCTTACTGTGTTGCACACGAAGAGCTTCTTGCTGTCTTAGAGGTTTGTTTTGAATGCCAGTGTACTCTGACAGGAAGCTCTAAATACCAGTATTGTATTTCTTACAATGTTTACACAAGCAGAAGGAAAGTGGTGTGGAATATGATTTTTAAATACTTTTCTGACATTCTCTTCCTACTCCCTCAGCAGCAGTGCTTTTTGGCTCAGCAGGTCCAGAGCAAAAGATGCAAAGAGACAACAGTAGCCTCAGTGAGGCTCCTCTGAGCCTCCTTGTAGAATTCCCTGTGGCCGTGGCTCCGGATGCTCCCGATGCTCACTTGCCTGTTGGTGTATCTGTGTGCCTTCATCAGGGTGCTCTTCTCCCACAGCACTCTGTCATCTGGGCAAGTTACGGGGAGGGGGGAAAAGCAGGAAGGAGGTTCACTTCACTTTGCTTATAAAGAAAAAATTTGTAGTGGAAGCTCTTCATAAATAGAGATTGGGTCAAATTGTTTTGCACTGCATTTAGGATAAAAAACAGCCAGTGACCAAGCCAAATGTGTGCTGTAAGAAGAAACTAAATAATACTGTTATTTTAATGACAAGGCATGTTAAGAGGCATATTCTTGATTCCCCCCACCCATGGCTAAATAACCAGAAGTGTAAAATGTTTAATTCTAATTGAATTGTGTTTAGAAATGCAAATCTCTCTTAACAAGGAGGAAACTTAGTTCTGTAATTAAAAGGACCGAAGTCGAATTTAGAAAATGCCTTTTAACAAACAGTGAGGATGCTTGTCATTCAAAGCTTTTTCAGCTTAGTCTTATTTTGCCAACAGACTTTTCTTTCTAAGAATTATAAGGTTATGCTGCAATAATTTTTCAGTATGCATACTACTTCTGACATTTTTTTAAAGTAGCTTATTTTTTAATGAAGAAATTGATTTAGAGTAAACTGGTTTTGAGCTTCATGTGCTGCTGTTTATTATAACAAGCAACCATTGGTGTTTATATACAATTTTTAAATTTTGAAGACATGATGAAATTTTGTAAATTTTATGTCCCTGTGTTCATTGAAGAACATAATAAATTTTGCACATTTACTTCTTTATCCCTTACTTGGTTCTATATATTTCTGACAAAGTGATATTGAAGATACGCGTTCCAGTCGTTATGGTCTTTGGTCAATAGCTTCCGTCTGTGAATTGTTGTGAGATACTTTCAGACAACTTCATACCGTCTGTTTATTTGTGTTGTCTCTTCAGTGTAATTTGTTTCCTGTAAGAAAACAGATGCACCTGCAATGCATCAAGAAGAGCATGGCCAGCAGGTCAAGGGAGGTCATCCTCCCCCTCTACTCTGCCCTGGGGAGGCCGTATCTGCAGTACTGTGTCCAGTTGTGGGCTCCCCAGTTCCAGAAAGACAGAGAACTGCTGGAGAGGGTACAGCAGAGGGCTATGAAGATGCTCAAGGGACTGGAACACCTCTCTTAGGAGGAAAGGCTGAGAGACCTGGGTCTGTTTAGCCTGGAAAAGACTGAGAGGGGACCTCATCAATGCTTATAAATATCTACAGGCGGCTTTTCTCAGTGGTGTCTGGTGACAGGACAAGGGGCGACTTGCACAAGCTGGAACACACAAAGTTCTGTCTGAACATGAGGAAAAACTTCTTTCCTGTGGGGGTGGCAGAGCACTGGAACAGGCTGCCCAGAGACGTGGTGGAGTCTCCATCTCTGGAGACATTCCAAACCCACCTGGATGCGTTCCAGTGCAACCTGCTCTAGGTGGACCTGCTTTGGCAGGGGGGTTGGACTAGATGATCTCCGAAGGTCCCTTCCAACCTCATATCATTCTGTGATTCTGTGAATACAACTTTTATATGGAACTGGTTCTCTTGGTAATTTATGCTGTAACTGGCCTCCGTGGACATTTTTTCTCTTGGACAACTTCAATTTCAGTCTGTTTTTCTTATTTTTGAACTACTTCTATAGTAGGTTTTGGGGACGTATTTTCATTTGGGGAATTTTGAAAGGTTAGGCTATTCTAAATGTATTAACTGTAGTAAGGTGTGCTGAGGTTTGTTTTTTGTTTTGGTTTCCTATGCTAATCTAGGGAAAATGTTCTGTCTGATATTTCAGCAACTAAGTGTGGGGTGATTATTTTGGTAACTCTTTCCTGTGATAGAAGATTTCGTTTCAGCACTCTTTGATGTGAAGGATTTCACCATCAGATTTCAAAAGATGGCAAAGCAGTCTACAGTGAATGTTTCTGAATTCATAATTTGCAAGCAGTCCACATTTTTCTTCAGAGCATGAAACCGAATGAGTGGTAAGGAATATATATGTTCTCTTGAAGCTTGATTATAAGATGGACACAGAAAATCTTGTAGTGGTTCTTTTCAATGTTGCCAGAAGAAGCAAACCCAGAACTGTGAGGTGGAAATATTCATTCTACTTATACAATATCTGGTACTTAAACTGGAAAATTAAGTTCCTAAATACCTGAGGCAATCTCATTTTCATGTGTTTCAAATGTATCCAGAAATACTAGTGAAATAATTTGACAGAATTTTTACAGTTCACCTTCTGAGAGCAGTTTATTACAGTGCATATAGGAACTTTGTTTAAAAGTCTTTTTTCAATTTCCAAAGTCTTTCTAAAGAATATGCTCTCGAAGTATTTATCTTTTTCCTTGTTCAAAGTGTTTCTAACATTAGAAAGCAAATCTTTATTATTTGGTATGGAAGAAGTCTGAGGAGGAACTATACTTGACTGTCTTTGCTGAAATTATTCAGTGGGATGGGATACAGCCTTATTCATAATGGAGTACTTTCAGCTGGACAATTTGTCAACATTGAGGGTAAAAATAACAAGCAAGTTAATGAAACCCTTTGCCTTTGAAACTAGAGGCACTTACCCAACGTTGGTATTGTGGAATACGTGCAATATAATCAGCTTTAAGACTCAGTGTGGGGAGGAGTGGGTGAAGCAGAAGTTTCCTGTCATGGGATTGTTAGTTGAAAGGAAAGCAGCATCTGGTAATGATTTTGCATATTGGGTCACTCATGCTGTGACTTTCCCATGACTTCTGCTTTTGGAATGGATTCTGTTATTAGGATTGTTTTTATAGTTATCATCTCACAATCATAGGCTTGATCTTGAAACCTGGGTAAGAACATACAGATAAAGTCAGAGAACCCCTTCGGTGGTAGACCTTCATGGGATATTGGGTCATTTTGGTAGGGCTGCTTTACTGAATGATAATTGTGCAGCCCCATTAGCACTTGATTGTACTTTGTACTGAGGTACTTGGCATATTTATAAATGTTATGCATGGCTGGTTGACATTGGGACTTTTATTTCAAAGGGAAAAAAAAATCTGAAGATGCATGACGGTAGGATTATTTCTCACTTGACTTGGAATTCAGTGTCTTTTGGGCAGAGGGAAACAGAGGAGACCTGCAGGGGAGGAGTTGCAGTAGATGGCTATGTTCTATTCCTCTTGTCAGTACAAGTGGTTTTTTGAATGCATGTCAATGATGATTAAGATGAAATTCATAAGAACACTAGAAGCTGGTCATGGAGCATTATATGCAAACAAAGAAATTTAGGTAAGTCCTGGGGTATATATGCCTTTCTTAGGAACTGCTGACTTTAATGATCTACTTCTGCTCAGCACTGGTGAGGCCACACCTGGAACACTGTCCATTTCTGGGCTCCCCAGTACAAGAGAGACATGGGCACACCAGAGAGCCCAGTGAAGGGCCACAAAGATGACGAAGGGACTGGAGCACCTCTCCTGTGAGAAAAGGCTGGGAGAGCTGGGACTGTTCAGCCTGGAGAAGAGAAGGGTCAGGGGCATCTTATCCATGTATACACATGCCTGGAGGGAGGGTGCAAAGAGGACAGAACTGGGCTCTTTTCAGTGGTGCCCAGTGGTGACCAGAGGCAATGGGCACAAACTGAAACACAAGAGTTTTCCTCTGAACATCAGGAAACACTTTTTTACTGTGAGGGTGACTGAGCACTGGCACAGGTTGCCCAGAGAGGTTGTGGAGTCTCCATCCTTGGAGATATTTAAAAGCCGTCTGGACACTGTCCTGGGCAACCTACTGTAGGTGGCCCTGCCTGAGCAGGGGGGGTTGGAGAAGATGCCCTCCAGAACTCCCAACCTCAACCCTTTTGTGATTCTATCTCTTTTGGACAGTATTGCAAAACATTTAAGAAGGTAACTTGGCCACTTTGTGTTCCAGGTTTTTTTTGTTGTGTGTTTTTGTTTTGTTTTTTCCAGATGTTGTGTCAAGGCTCCATTAAAAGTATAATGGCAGCAAACTTCAAGCCATGAGGCAGCTGATAAACACTCACCTGAAAATAATCAGTTTCAGTGCTGAGCAATTGAACTGAAGCTAGAGGAGTACCAGACATGGCATAATCCTCCTGACAACCACAGTTTGTTAGAGTTGCAGGTAAGCCTGGAAAATTTCTGACAGATAGGCTTGTGGCAATAAGGAAGATATCATTTGGTAAATTCTTAAAGAAAAAGATACTCTTTTCAGGCTGATAGTCACCAGAATAAAATGAGATTTCTATGACAGCTTGCATTTCTTAACTGTTTAGCTATCCCTCCCCAAAATTTCCCTACCCATATCACCCAACTAAAAGAAGTGCAGTGATATGCTTTAAGAAGCCCAAGGCATCAGAAAAAAATGCCACTTTTTGACAAATGGATTATTTGCCATTGCTGTCTGTGACAGATAATCTGAATTTTCAAAGATTTAAAGTGATTGATCATCTACTGAGTATTTTAAGTAAACTTCTGGAAATATAAGGAAGATTGCCTTTCCCAAACCATCAACTCTTGTATTTACCCCAGGGATTGGGATTGCAGAACTGGGGATGCGTGTGCAGTCTGATACTGCAGCAAGATGGCCAGGGAATTCCACACAGATGGCAGCGAGGAAGGCTTTTCAGCTACATTAGTGTAGTGGTGGTTTTAGTAAATTCTTGTTTTCGTCATAGATGATATTTCCTAGGTATCTAATATTCTATTTTTAAAAAAAGCAACATGAGATTGTGGGCACTCAGGACAAACTATTTAGCTTCTTGGAAAATATTTTGACAAACTTTACTCTAGAGAAATTTGTATTGTCCAGGCATCCTCATTTCACAACAGAATCCAAAAGATCTTGAAATCACTGAACAGCAATCATTGTCTTGTTTCCTGTGCAAAGAAAAAGGAAGGAACCATAATCTCAGGAAATCCTATTTTTAATATAGATAGGTAGAGACTGTGGGAATGTATTGAGTGATGTTGAATTGTCAAAATGACCATTTAAGCATCTTTAGTCCAAGCAAAATTATTGTGATTAGTGGAAGTTGCCACCATATAAGCAATACATGATCTAGTTAATCTGACAGGAATGGCACAGAAGCAAAGAAACTTCTGCTTGCCCATATACCAGTTTCATCATGGAGACAATAAACTTGAAAAATCCTATACTTTCAACTATTTTTCTTTTTTGTGCTGTTTTCTGGCATTCCAGAAATTATCTCAGAATTAGTGCCAGATCCCATTCTGTTGCCTTGCTGATGTCTCTTTCCCAAGACAACAAAACCGCCAAAGCCTATTCAAAAGCAAATGGTGTCATTGTATTCCCTTTCCTTTACTGAGTGTCATTTACTTACTAAACCTGCCAGGTGTTGTTACCCAATCATGGCTTTTTCCTGGCATACATTTCTGGAAGCAGTGTTTGTACCTAATGTTTTGAGCTCCCTCTGCTGGTCTTGTAACAGCAAATTAAAAATCCTCACCCAAGAGTTAAGACGGGACAAAGACGGGGGCAATATTCAAACGGCCTTGTAAAAATACTTATTATTTTTCCCCCCCCCGATTAATTTAACAATCTCATAAAAGGCGACTGATTTCAAATTAAAATATCTAAAAAAATTGGCCAGTAATTTTCTGCCACAGTGACCTTATCCTTAGATCCATTGCTATAGTCCATATATATATATTTTTTGTTAATGACTGACCATGTAGTAATGTAAAGCTGTTGATTAAAAGTATACTATATACTGATTTTTTTTTCCTCTCCTATTTTCAAAGGAGATTCAAGGTCAGTGTATAAACGTATAATTCTGTTTAAAAACACTTCTTTTTAGCTATATAATTTCCAAAAGAAACCTATACTCTATGTAAAGCAATTGTCACTGTCCTCTGCCCCTCTACCTTCTTGGTAGAGAAGCCCTGCCCTGCTCCCAGGCCCTCTTACCTGCTTCGTGCTCCCCTGCTCCCTGGCTGCTCCAGCTTGATGCTCACCGGCAAACGTACACACTCACACACTCTGGTCCCACTGGCACCCCACACTCACAGGTTCTCCTGGACACCAGCACCAACACTTGCCCCCCTGATACCCGAGCCTCCCCCCTCAGCTTGCTGGCTAGTCCAGCTTGGAGTTTGCTAGTGAACACACACATACACCCCATGCACGCCAGGATTAGGGAAAATACATGTCATTTTTTCCCCTTACCACCAGGCATATAGGCTGTGACCCGCAGTCCTGCTCCAGCCACTAGCACTGAGCTCCTCACTCTTGTTAGTGCTCCAAAGGAGCTGGTTTTCAGGACATACGCCATCCCAGCCCCAGTGGGACGCCATCCCACCCCCAGACTGATGCCAGGAGCTGGTGTCAAATCCACTCTGCAGCTCTTGTTACCAAAGGCAGGCCTCTGCTTTGTTTATAACCACATGCTAACTAAAATGAGTTCATTACTGAGCCTCTTCCTGTGTGAGAAAATAGCTGATAGTGATAAAGATGGGACAACAAGAAGCAGTTAATTGCTTCAAGGTTCTCTCATATGTCAAAGCGTGCAGATATAAGATGATCTTAAAGGTCCCTTCCAACCTAGACAATTCTATGTACTCCTATAGCAATTAGGACACAGCTGTGGATACTTCAAAGAATATCCTTATCATCCTCAAGAAGCTGGCAAACTTACAGTAAACTTTTCCTGTCCTGAGATGACTCAATACCTTAAAAGGATAATGCAAGAAGGGTATCCCTACCCAAACAACCACCGAGGAACTCACGCCTGCGCACAAGTGTTTTGCAATGCCTCGAAACTTAATATGCATGTGCAAAAGGGCTATTCGGTCATCCTAGGGAATACATAAGCCTAGGTGGAGTTATGTATAAGGCAGATGGGATAATGAGAATCCTTTATGTGTGAATAACGGGTGAATGCCCCTGTTAAGATGTGCTGGATTTGTGGATTTCCACCTGGCACGCAACATCAAATGAAGCAATGTCTCCTCTCTAAACAGCTTCTAGTTTCAAGACCTTTTGTTTCAGGTAACACTCTCACCAGTAGCTGGCACGTAGTCCTTGCCAGACACATATAGGCAGGATAGAGAATGAGATTACACAGAGAAAAAAGATACTTAAGAAATTATTTAATAATTAGACACAAAAAGATAGGACAGAGTGCAGTGATCAGGCACAGGGCTCAGTGTACAGACTGGTTCTGCAACCAGCCCCTTTTATAGCCTTTTCTGTCTAACCCACTCTGTTCTTTCCTGCTTCCCCTTCTCTCTGCACTTCCTCTTGTGGGTTTGTACAGCCCTGTTGATTCCTGAACACCTCCCAGCCAGGTGTCTGGAATCCCCCTGGTTCACAGTCTTAATCAGTTGCAAATTCCAGGTTGGGACTTCCTAGTCTGGGGAGGGATGCCTGTGGTTTCTGGGGAGCCCATCTATTAGTGTGGGTGGCAAGGTTTGTTTGGTCAGATCTGTGTCTCTGGATACTTTGTTTCTGGTTTTCCTCTTTTTCCCCTAGTTTCCTAATTGACAAAGTCCCTGATCAGATAACCTTTCCGGAGTTAACTCCTGGAGCAGGTACCCCTAAAGGAGCAGACACTCTCCTTCTACATAACCTGACATTGAGAAGATGATTCATTTCATTATATGCAAAATAAAACACGTACTGAGTGTCTAGACATTTGAGGGAGGTTGTCATACAAGCAATCCTAGAAAAGGTCTAGCCGTAAGACCCTGCTTGATATCCCAAGAAAGGGACCTGCCGGCATTCTGAGCCAAAAGGGCTTTTATGGTGCATGTAAAATGTATGAGTAAACTTGCCAGAAAAATTCCTGCCAGGTGAACTGGTTTTGTTTGTGGCCTGGTAGGGCCTAAGGTGCTGCCCTCTGGTCACCCCCACTGTCAAATCTGTGTGGCCCCGGCCCTGCGCTCTTACGCAATTTGAGAATTTTTTTGAAAGGGGGGGAGGTGGATTTCATAGCTCTGTATGATAGCATGTCTCTTCCTTCCCACGTGTGATAAAGATCATAATGAGTTTCTTATCTTTTTGTGTTGAAGTAAAATACGCACAAGAAAGTTCACAGTCGGAAAGCTGAAAAATCTTAAAAGATATTAGCAGTTTTGTGTCTTTCCCCTATGGGAACGACGGTACCTCAAAACTTTTACATCTTTCCATGACAACCTCAGAAATATTTTTCAGAAATCATCGCTTTTCAATAAATGTGTTTGGCGTACATACACTGGTGCATCTGCCTTCATCTTAAGCATGTTTTCCACTGAAAGTTTTCAGGAGTTAATTTCCTCCTTTGAGTTTGCAGACCCTGTTCCTGCAACTGAAGCCCCAGAAAAGGTCTATGTTTTTTCACCACAGCCCAGCCTGCAGGACTGGGGCCCTGTTCCCCTTTTCCCTTTTTCTAACTTGTGCTAGCATCATGTTTGTAAATGTACGAATGGGATACAATCTAAGTTTGCCTTCAAATACACACCTAGATTTGCAGGGAGCAGCACACTGAGCAGCCTTTGTGTGCGTGCAGGAATGGCTAGGCTATTCTTTACCCTGGCAGCATCAGTCATTCCTGCCCGTACATGCCCTATAAGTTTATAAAAGGAGCAGCATTCAGCTCCTCTCAGTTCTTCTGAATTTCTTACTGAGTCATAGCAAATTTCCTTTCATGCCTTCCTAGCAAACTGCCTTTTTTTTTTTGTAAGGCCCTTGTTGACCTCCTAAACGCTTATTCACTTCATTGATATGACCAGTTTTCCCTCATCCCCCACTTTCTCTTCATACTGATTCTTCTGCACACTGCTCTGAAACTCCAGCTGCCTGTAGACACATTTCTTGGATTGGAAGGGTCTCCTCTCCTGCAGAGCCACTGCCACTTCCTTTACCGCTTTGACAAAGAGCATAAAGCACGTGTTGGTATTACCAGCCTGGCTTTTCAACTAAAGGCTGAGCAATCAAGCGATGATGGTAGCAACTAACAGCTGAGACTAAGGCTTCTGTGGTGCTCTCTCCAGAGAACAGCAAGGAGACTTTCTTCATTTTCTGGGGTGGCCAGAGTATTCTTCATCAGAAAACCAGATCTCACCTGCCCCAGAAGCAGCACAAGATCTTTGATAGCTCCCCAACCTTTGCTCCATTATCTCTCTGCCTATGAGTGACTACAGGAGTGGCTCACCAGAGCTCCAGGTTCTTTTGTGTTATGTCTACAGCTGCAATTTCCTATCTGCTCACGCCTGATCAAAGGCAAATGGCTCAAGTAATGAACCTTGTCCCTCTGTCAGAGGCCGTAAAGGAATGTCATTGCCTATACATAAAGCAGAGTTCTTTCTCTAGTCATAGGGTCAATCTGTTTACATTGCAGAGAAACTCTACAAAGTCTGTATCGGATACTAGAAGACTGGATGCATCTTTGGCAGAAAGATGGGTTCTTCCGATGCTTTCAGCTTCCCTGCTAGATCAACTGCCATCCTAGTTGTCCTTCAGAGACATTCTTTGCCAAAAATTTCAGGTTTTAAGTTCTGAGGATGTATTATTTGCAGGAAATAATATCTAGCAAATGGAATTAAGTGCTTTGTTCAACCAAGTTTTTTTTCCAGAAAACTTTTAAGATCTTGAATCCTACCTCCGGAAGGAAAACCACTTTCTGCCCATACTATGTAGCTGCTCTTTTATGAAAATTTTCTCATACAGAAGCCTCTGAGATGTAAGCAGAGTTTTCATTAACACATCAAATTAGTTCAGCCATATTTTCACTGCAGCCCTTGAATCTTCCGAACTATGGGGAGTAACCTAAAGGACACAAATCAATATAGCTTTCCCAGCTTTACTCACAAGTTCTCCTGTAGAGTCCCCAAAGTCACCATTCCCAAAGGATGTTGCAGTAAATGGCTAATCACCGTTGGCATATAATGTTGGACAAATAGATGGCATTTGGTTATGATGTCTAGAACTAACTTAAAGCCTTACCATTTCCAAAACCATTTGGGGTCTTTTTCGGCACCGTTGTTCAGTAGCCTGTTAGTGGAGATTCTCATAAGCGATATTGCTCACCCTGAATGACAGATTCAGTTCTTATTCACCTTCAGAGAAACAGTTGTAACAGTCACTATTTCCTGGTTATTTCCAGGAGAGGAGAGGAAGAGATAAAGAGATTTATGAATTTAGAAAAAGAACTAAACTACTTTAATGAAAATATTAATAAATAATGAAATAATAAATAATAATAAGGAAAATGGTAAAAGAAAAAAAAAGGTATACAGTATATACAAAACCATATCAAACTCCTAGGATGACTATCACATCACCAGTAGACATAGGGAAAAGTCCCAGACTGGACTCAGCGACAGACAGGAGCTGGATTCTGGATCTGGAGTCAGGAATGCTCAGATTGGGGTCAAAGGCAGACAGACAGACAGGGTCCTCCTCAGACGTCAGCCACTAAAGAAAGAGAGTTGACTCTTTGGTCCCTCAGCTTTTATACTGAGCGTGATGCAGATGGGATGGAATACTCTGACGGTCAGTTTTGGGTCACCTGCCCTGTCTGCTCCTCCCTACAGGTGTGACCCCTCTACGCTTTTCTGCTTCTGACCCTTCAACGGAACAAATAACAAAGTTATCTGACCTTGGTTGTTATAGCAATGAGTGTAAGTGAGAGCCTCTCTACATGCCATTCCTTGGTATAATCAGATCATACCACTCTGAGAGCAAACAGTTTCTGAACAACATGCTGTTCATTTCAGAGTTTAGTTAGTTAGAAGAGGCCCAGATGAAAAGTAAAATTACTGAAGAGAAAAACGGTTCTGTTGCACTTCAAACCAGGATACTCATGTTTTCCAGATGTTTCCAAAGTCATCTCCCAGTGCTGCAAGCATTCCATTACCAGAAATAATATTTGATTAGGTAATGTGCCTCAGGGTGCGCTTTTCAAAGAAGAGTGACTTATGGAATTAGTCTGTTTTAACCTCTGACCCCTTCCCCTTGAAAATTTCCGCACCAAAAACTGTATCTTCCAAACTGTTCTGCATCTACAGTTCTGCATCTAAATGTCAATATTTGAGGAACTTGGATTTTTCTGTCACTGTGATCTGTTTGTTAATACAATTGTGTTTATAACTAACAGCAACATGCCCAGCCATCTTAAATTAATGATCAATTTCAGACATCAAGACATGCCTTGTCTTAGAAATAATGAGCTGGGAGACAAGTTTGTCTACAGCAGATATGGGGTGTTTATCCATCCACATAAGCACATCTCTCTTTCTGCTGCTTATGTAAACTACTGTAAGTAGGCATGCCATGACTAACTGATCGTACTTCCTCTCTGTTTCTAGGAGACCTTATTTCATCAGATAGTTACGGTAAATGAATCACTAATTTATTTATTTTTTTTTAAATTTAAGCACCACAGCATGCTGAAATGCACGCATCGCCATGGGCTCAAATCCATTGGCCTCTCAGAAAGCCTATTCTAGTTGCTCAATTCACTAGTAAACATCCTAAATAATTCTCTAATTCAGAATATACAAACCAGATCAAGGGAGAGAGGTATTTCTTTTTTTTTTTTTCTTCCTGATCTCTTCATCTTCTCTCCTTTTGATAGGCAGAAACAGTATAACCTAAAAAAACTCATATGAGTACAGTTTCCTGCTGTGCCTGTGAGTGGGAGAAGACAATCTGCGGAGTTTAGTGGGGCCAAGCTCCCACTGTAATACTTTGTGTCAAATACCAAACAAATAAAAATATTTCCTACCTTTTGCCTGGATATTAACTGCTAAGTGATATGTCCTGTGATTAAAAACAACACTTCCTTGTGCTACAAGATTGAAACGCAAAGCATGGCAGCACCAACTTTCCAATTAAAACTCAAAAACTAGCTAAAGCACAAAGCAAATCTCTTTACTGGTGTGACATGACTTCCTTAACTCTCTTTTTCATTTTATAGACTTAAATCAGAATGGCTCAGAGACGTAAAGTAATGTTTTTCCCCCGAGGAGAGAACTGATCATTAAAACTTCACTTCACATGACTCAGACGTCTTCTGGTTGTGTAACACTGTGGGAATCCCCTTCAGTCAGCAGCAGAGCCTTCCTCCAGGGTGGCAAGCAACTAGTGAATTGCCAAACTAGCCTGCATCAGTCTTACTGCCCGAGTTGTTGCTAATTTTCTGCGAGACGACGAAGAAGAGCTGGTGAGAAGTCAGGCTTCTCAAGGTGCTGGCCTGGAAAACCTGCACCCACGTGCCTACTTTACCATGGCCCCTGTCAGGCCCCCACTGCCAGAGTCCCCAGAATACCAAGTTTGCAGGGTCCCATGCAAACTCAAGCATTTCTGCCAGTCCCTGAGGTCAGAGCAGGGTCAGGCACTGCTGGTAGCTGTGGGTGCTCATGTCTCCTTGAAGGGTGAAGACCATTCCTACCCAGCATTTTCTTCTGAGCGCAGGTGTTGCTGCAGCCCAGCCGCCACGATGCCCGTGGGCTGTGCAGCAGTTTGCGCACGCTTTTTCTCCCTGTTGCTTTTGTGGCTCCTTTTCCCCAGTTTTGGATTCAAGAGGAAGCACCAGAAAAGGATCCTGTAGCAGCTGGAGGAGCATAAACACAGTTATAAGAGCAGACACAGGTGCTAAAGAATGACTGGCAGTGAAGAGAACTGTCAAATGGGGGACCAAGACTTAGGTGGCTGTGTCAGAGGACAATAGAAAGAGAATAAACAGACCTTTAGCACCACCCTGAATCACCTCTTTCCATGCATTTGTGAGTAGATAAAATACTTGTTCACTTTCTCACACATTCAAAGACAGAGGGTGGTACATAGGGGATGTCTGAATGCAGAAATGCGATATAGTCTCTATCTCCAATGTCAAGATACTGGGAGCATTTTTTTAATCTTGTGCTGTGTTTTTTAACTTTTGAACTATTTGATGGCAGCCCCTCTGCCTTTGCAGGCTGAGAACAAGAGCATGGGAAGATAAAGAACTTGATGACTTCAGCCATCTGCTGTTCAACGACGTTTTCCATTACAAACCTTGTGAACAGAAGGGAGCTGCAGAAGGCTAAGTCTGTCGGGTGCAGGAGCACAGAACTTTTTAGTTACTGAAAGTCCCAGTGGGACTTTTTAATAGAACCAAGATGTCTTGATGAATGGGAGATGCACCTTTGCGTGCCTAAATACCCTTCCATCTACTACCAAAAGGGCCCAAGTATGAGGATGAGGGTCCAGACATTTCCAACTTTCTCCCACAGTCCACAGCAAATGTTGCAGGGAGAGGCATTGTGTCTGGACAGATCAGTACAGTTTTCCTATACAATTCTTTTTTGTGTGTGTATGTGTATGTGTTAGGCCAATATCAAACAACTCAATTACATTTCTCTTCCAGGAAGAAGATTAAAAATCATCAGAGCAAACACCATGAGTTGGAAGTAAAAAGGTAAGAATTTGAAGAGCTAGCTTCTGTAAAAATAAATCTTGAATTCTTTTGAGGCTTGCTGAAGTCTAGTCTAAATAGGAGTGGGATTTCTTGTGTGTGTTTACTTTTGTTTCCCATCCTCAGTAAATTTGTATATTTCTTGGACATTCATGACATAATGATGCTCTTGGAAGCATCTCTAAATTCATACTAATCAAAACATCAGCAGAGTAAATACTGTAGATGAATTCCAGTGACTGTTAAAAATTTTTGGTCATTTACAAATTAGAGGGAACCAGGGGATTATTCTTTTCTATCTTCTTCCTTTGTTGGTTTCTTAACTGAGTTAGCCATGGTTCTTTATGTGAGATACCTAGAAGAAGGGTAAGGGAGGAACACAAGGAGGTGGTTGATTTCCCTCTTAAACTACTCTGTTTTACCAAAATTGTTCCCCTATAAATCACTACCTGATGCGTGAGATGTTCCTGAGTCTTACAATGGATGCATTTCACCTCTATCTATGTGTTATTTTTGGAGAAATTCCTTATCTTCAGTGGATTCAGATTTTTCCAAGATCCTGTGCCAGAAATTTGGATGCAGGAAAACAATGGCTTTGATATTGAGTAGCTATCTTCTTATGGGTGAGTTGGTTTTAGTTTTACCGGAGTCAATCCAAGCATCCACATATAATAACTGGCAAGGTTGGAATTTTAGAGTAGTAAATTGTTTGCTTTGGTGAAATACACCCAAAACTACTTACTATGTCAATCTATTGCACTTATGTGCCATCATTTCAGTTTTCTTTTTTTTTTTTTCTACTTATAAGACTTGTCAATGATTTTAAGAGCCTTTAACTTGCAGTGATAGATGGAGCTATCCATCCTATGAAATATATTTCCTTCCACCTTCCCTGGCTACCCTTCACTTTTTCATGTTGGTAGCCTTTAGTGAGGGAAAGAGACCAGCAAGAAAAAATAATTTATCTTTAATCTTTCTGATTTGACATTAACTTTGCTTTTTGCTCCCTGAGCTCAAAGAAAAGACAACAATATAAATTATTATCTCTGAACTACTGTAGGGTTTACAGATTTTCTTTTGGAGCTGATTGACAGTATCAGATTGACTCCAGTTCTCTCTTCTCTCAGTCTTCATTAAATCACTGTTTATTTTCAGTTCTTTCTTTAGCACTACCTAAGCTATCAGTTTTAAGAAGTCATCCGTCATCCACTGATGGTGAAAACTGCATATTTCATTACCCTTTTGTTCATGAGGGCACAACCAGTCATTTTTACTTCCCTCCTAACAGCTTGCTAGACTGTCAGACAGTAATTTGACCTAATAGGAAGCTCAGAGTAGGAGGGAGATCAGCTGGAGTAAAACTAAAAGCCTGCAAAAGTTTCCTCTCTGGTTTGGCAAAGGGAGAACACTTATGACAAGTTATAGGATTTCTCTAACAATTACAGTAAATACATGTCTTTCAATGCATGGGTAGATGGAAACCCCACTGCAGAATTCATGTTTTGAGTTGCTCTTTAATATACCTAAGCTTCCTCTGTAAATCAAAATCTCATTAATGCATGAATTAGACCACCAAAATTAACATGCCTTCTGCACATGCTGTTTTCCTATTTAAGTTTCACAGTTAGAAATTGTTGATGGCTTTCCTAGCTACCCGCTCAGTTGCCTGCCTCCAGAAATGCTTCACAAGTAGTGCTAACAGTGTGTGACTGTAATTCCTCCACAGGCTTCAGACATCATCATCAAAGGATCCTTGCCTCAGCACAGGCTTGGCACTGGGGAAATCCCAAAGTAAAGCTTGTGGAGGGGACTGTTTCAGTAGAAGAGCGCTGCTGTTGACTGACAGAGTTGAGTCACTCTTCCCAGAAGGGTTCAAAAAGAGGTCAGACATATTAACTGCAGAGAAAACAAGCTAAATCTGTAATTGAATTACTTTAATCTATACCATCCCCTTCTAGCATATTTTATTTTCACAATCAACCAACCAAGCAGCTGGCTTTTCAGCATTTGCTTCCCCCCCACCCCTTTGTTTACACTCCTTTCTAGCTATTATAATTCGTGTCAGTGTTAAAAGGCTTTGACTGAGGTTCTGCCCTGTTTTATTACTGTACCTCCCTGCAAGAGGAGGATCTTTGCCCTGAAAGTTTGCAATTGATAAGGGCAGGCCGTACAGGGCTGAGAGAAAGGGAGGACTCTCTCTTTTGATTAAGGAAGAGCTCACCTACAGCAAAATCAAGTGATTCATCCAAGCTTACTTGGAAAACAAAGCTGCCCAGCCTTTCCAGCCCTTACCTAGGGCTCTGAACACAAGGTGCTCTTGCTGTACTTGCCTGCTTTCCTCTTGTTGGAAATCGGATGGTGGTGGTGTAAACTTTGCTCAGGGAGCATTCAGGTGGCCTTCGTTAATACAAATTAAAGATGTTCTAAGTACCCTAACTCTGCATGGTTTCCTCTGTTGGCAGTCCTGCCAGTCATAGTTCTGCTGACTTCCCAATCTTGTGCTAGTAAAACACATTTTCCCTCTGAAGTGTTTGAGAGTGTTCTGACTTTCTTCAGGAGATGTACTAAGTACTCCTTCACTCTACGGTGCTTTTGAACTAAAGTAGCGTCAGAGCTCTTAAAAGCAACAGATCCCTGCCTGGTGGATTATTTAAAAACAGTTTTTCCATGGAAATAGTAATCGCTGGGGAGGAATCCCGTGCCCCCCAGCATCACCCCCAGGTTTTCCAATGGCAATAGGGTGTAATCAATAGCATCAGCTCAGGGTATGCGGTTAGGTTTAACCACGGGTTGGTGTTACAGCGAAGGTGCAGCCAAAGAAAGCTGGGGAGTTTTAACCACTCTTAATGGCGAGATTTTTTCTCACATCAACCGCACACCATAGGCGCACACGCAAAACCCCTGCGCCTCGCCGGCCCGCCCCACACCGCATGCGGTGGCGGCTGCGGGGCCGGGCCCGGGGCCAGGGCCGCGCCACAGCCCGCCCTGCCTAGTCAGCCCCGAGCAAATGGCGGCCTCCAGGGGGTCCCCGCCGGCCGTTGGGGCCGTTAGGGCCGTTGGGGCCGTTAGGGTCGTTGGGCTCGCGAGCCCCCGCGGCCTCGATACCGCCCGCGGGGCTGAAGGCGGGGCCGAGGGCGGGCTCTGCCTCCCCCGCCGGCGGGGGTGGAGGCGGAGCGGGGCCGGGAGGCAGCGGCCGCCCCGCTCCCCCGCCAGCGACGGCACACCGGGGCCGGGCCGTAGGTGTGAGGCGGCCCCCGCCAGGCCTGCCCGCCGCCGGCCCCGCTCCTCAGGGACCGGCGAGCAGGCTCTGGCGGCGAGCGGGGCCGGGCGGCGGGGAGCTGCCAGCTGGGCCATGCCGTGTCGGGCGCTGCTCCTCTCCTCCTCCCCCTTCCTCCTTCTCCTCCTCCTCCTCGGCTGGGTCCGGGCCTCGGGCGCAGGTGGGTGCCGCGGGGCGCGGGGGTCGGGGCTCGCCGCGGCCGTGGCCGGCGGTGCGGGGCTGGAGGCTGTCGCCCGGCCTGCGCTTCTCTCTGCGCCTCCTCCGCGGCGGCCTTCCGGCCCGGGAGGGCGGCGGAAGCCTGCGGGGCGACGGCCCGGACTGGGGTGGCCTCGGAGGGGGCTGGGGTGGGGAACAGCGCGGCCGTGCGCGTCCCCTGAAGCGGCGCCGGCGGGGAAAGCGGGGCTGTGGCGGATCTAAACTCTTTCCTCGCCCCGCCCGAGCCTGGCCTTCTGAAAGGACACGAGTCCTGGTTTCTCTTGCGGATCCGGGGGTTGCTGCTCCTGGAAAACCTGCCGCCCTCCGGGCTGCCGCTGGTCGGTCAAGGCCTGTGTCTGGTGAGCCCCACGGGGCGCTCCGGCTGCTCGGGGGGAGCAGCTGCCGTTCCACTCCGTGGCCAGACTCGTGAGTCCAGGTGCCCGTGTGTGGGTTTGGGTGAGCCGGGGGGGACCCGCTGCAGCCGGTGTAGCCCGGTCTCATCCCAGCAGCAGCTGGATTGCCCAGCCAGCTGTGCCCGTGTTCGGCTTGTGTGTGGGGCCTCCCCCCCGCCTCGGCGCTCTCTCCCTGAGGCACGGTGCACTGTGTTACTTCTGTTGCAAATGGAGGTGCTACATGTTAAAATCTGATGCCAAAAGAATCGCTAGCTGTTGTCACCTCTCCCCACCTGGCCACTCGTGTATGCTATTCACCTTCTGCAGGCTTTGGTGCTGGTCTGACAACTTGAGAAGCCAGTTCAGTACACTGGAACAGCAGAAGTCGTAGGATCATAGAGTGGTTTAGGTTGGAAGGGACCTTAGAGATCATGGAGTTCCAACTCCCCTGCCATGGGCAGGGACACCTCCCACCAGACCAGGACACTCAAAGCCCCATCCAGCCTGGCCTTGAACACCTCCAGGGATGGGGCATCCACAGCTTCTCTGGGCAACCTGCTCCAGTGTCTCACCACCCTCACAGTAAAGAATTTCTTCCTGATAGCTGATCTAAATCTACCTTCTTCCAGTTTGAAGCATTACACCTCATCTTATCACTACATTCCCTGATGAAGAGTCCCTGTCCAACTTTCCTGTAGGCCCCCTTCAGATACTGGAGAGCTGCTAAAAAGTCTCCCTGGAGCCTTCTCTTCTCCAGGCTGAACAACCCAAACTCTCAGCCTGTGCTCATAGGAAAGGTGCTCCAGAAACCCCCCAGGCTTCTTTTTTCTGCCATTTAACAAAATGATGTGTTTTAAGGCTGCTGCATGGGAAAGGATCAGAAATCGTTCAAGAGCAGGAATGGAGGCTGTGAAACCAATGGGTAGGCCAGCATGAGCTGCTTTCACTTACTGTAACTTGTGGCTTCACACTCTGCTGTGTGAAAGCTCTGACTTGTGGCTTGAAGGGTCACAAAGTCTCTGCATCAGGAAAAAACAATCTGAGCATTGTTTGGCGGATGCTTTAAAAGAACCAATTCAGCGAGACCACCTTCCAGACAGAGAGAAAGGGCAGGGCGTTGCTGCCTTTCCCCAGCTAAGGTAGTTTGAGTTTTTCTAGGATATTTGCATATGTAGGTGTATTTTGTTAGTTTGGATCCTACAAACTAATGATCGTTATGGATTTCAGTGTGTCATTTCAGAAATTTAAGTGACTTCCCTTATCAAGTTGACATATCTAACTGAAATATGAATGTGTTCCTTCGGCATGCTATGAAAACAGCTCCTCAGTGTGGTAGTAATAGATTTGATAATTTTTTCAGTGTTTTTGAAGCTGGTAGAGGAAATGATCTGGTTTTGATATAATATAAGGTTAATATAAGACAATATTATAAGGCAAAATAATCAGTGTACAGTTTTGATTGAGGAGATGAACCAGCTGCCCTCATCCTTCATTGCTTTTGCCTTTTTTTTTTTAAGAGGGAAAGGAGAGAAGAAAAAGAAAATGCTAGTACTTCTGTTTCATTCTGACAGCTTTCTTGAATTTTGTAAAATTAGTTTGTATCAGATGACTGAACACACAGATTACTGATGGTGTGAGATACCTTGCCACGTGCCAGACCAGCAGTGAGAGAGCAAGAAAGAATGTGCATGACTGGGAAGTGAAAACTTTTCCTGAATGCAGAAAAAGTTGCTTAGTGGCCTTTAAAATACAGGAGACATTAATAGCTTAGGTAGTATTTGTACCTGTAACCATTACAGGTTTGTAATGCTGAATGATCCATCTGAAGTCTAACGCAATGTGTTTTTACTTAAGAGCACTACTCAAAAGCTGAGGCTAAGAAACTAGTAACATACCTATTTAAACCTTTGAGAGCCTAACTAGTTATATTGTATTTTGGACTTAGAGTTTCATGCAACTTTCTGAAGATATGTATTGTCTCTTTCCTGTACATGGAGGATGTTAAGGTCCTGGCATGACGTCTCTTCTGAAAGCACCGTCAGCATCAGTGTGCTGTTTAGTGCTGTGTAACAAAATCAACTGTAGAAATCAAAAAGAAAAAACTTTTTAACTTTATCCCTAAAAGGCAGGGGCCAGAATTAAGCTTAAGTGCTTGATCTTCTGGTCTTATTTATGTAAAAATAAGGAAACTGTATCTTAGGAGACTACTGTCTTAAGAACAACAAATTAAAATCTTATCATGTGGGATATCATGTCATGATTGTCCTTGAGCTTAGGACCTGTTGACCCAGTATGTCTAATGGTGTAAGTGGATCACTACATAGGCAAACGCAGGTCAAGTGTAAAGGAAAAACTTTCCCCTAGGCAGGCAGTGAAGCCATTGCCCAGCAAGGCTGTGGAGGCTCTGTCCTTGGAGGTTCCGGGACCTGCCTCGAGAAAGCCCAGAGCAGCCTGGCCTGATGCCCTGTTCGGGGCAGGGACTTGTACTGGAGACCTCCCAAGGGTCCTTCCAGCCAGGGTGACTGCTGTTGTCAAAAGTGTGAGGCTTTCCTGGGTTTTAAGGCATTTGATAAGTGCGTTTTCCCATTTTCCTTACCTCAGCCTAATTGCAGTAATCTTAGTCTTTTTCATTTAGCTATCCCAATTCCTTGCTGTTGGTCTTCTTGTCTTTCAGTTCTGTTATTTGGTTCTCCAGCCTGCTCTTTTGCCCTTCTTGCTAGCTAACAATCTCCCTCCAGCTGCTACTCCACTTAATTCCTCATCTGCCTATCTTTACTTCAGCCACCCCCATTTCCCCAGCCCTTGGTTCTCAGCTGCCTTCCCTTCCACCTTCCGCTTGGTTTTCCACCCCTCCACTCCCAGCTCAGTGCCTGGCCTGTGGCTGTGCTCCCGTCTCAATACGTGGCTTCCTCCTCCACCTTACTTGGGCTAACAGGGAAGTGGTTCTTCTCCTGCACTAGAGAAACAACTCTTTGCTCTCCGCTTTCATGTTGCTCGCCTCCTGACAAGCTGCTGGAGAATGCTTGCAGGTCTTTGTCCACCCCCAAGGGTTTATATGACTGAATCCGGGTGGGCATTCCTACTAGCAGAAGGTACACCTCCAGCAGAGGTTTCTGTCCTTTTCGGTGTTGTGAAATCAGTTTAAAAATTGGCAAAACCTCAGGCTTGCAAGTCGAATGGTGTCCTGTGCGTTAGTGAATATTTAAGTATGAGAAGGATTTTTTTTTTTTCCCCCACTCATTTTCTGGAAAGTTTTGGTGAAGTGACCTTGATGTTTTCAAGCAAGTTATCAGGAGCCAGATGGTGAGGAAAAGCATGTGGGATAATGAAACGTGAGGTGCAGACAATTGAAGTAGATGAGCTTTTGTCATGACAGGTGGCTATGGACCTTAATTTAAAGCATCGTGGTGGAGCTGGGTGAGGTACATTGTTTTGTGCTGGACTCTGTATTTTCAGTTTTATGTTCTGTATTGAAAAAATAAAAGCAGTAAGTGCTTTTGTACTGCTACTAGTGCACCTAGAAAGGGGTTGTGGAGGAGGAATAGTTTTGCCTGCAAAGCAGTTAAAAATGTAATATATGTTGCTGGAATTTGGAAACCAAAATTTGCTTAAATGTTTCAATAATTATTTTTATTCCTTTTATTTCTTTAGAATCTTCTCCCCATTTACCAGCACCAAAGGATGTGGTGGTTTATTCCTATAACTTTCGTAGTTTGCTGAGGTGGTCTCCTGTTGAAGTGGATAGAGGCTTGGTGTTATATACAGTCCATTTTAAAACGTAAGTAAATAGTTCTAAAAGCAACGAAACTCATTTTGTTCTAATCCAGTAACGTAATTGGTTTAAAAAACAAAACAAACAAACAAACTGAAAACAAAGCCCCGCAAACCAAACACTACCCCAAAATTAATAATGAGTAAGCATAGAAATGAAAGAATGAGTTGTCTATTACAGATGGTTTATATATATCTGAAAGCAGCTTCTGAAGACTGACAATCTCTTAGCTTGTGATAATGTCCACTAAATTGAGAAAACATCTAAGACCTGAAGAGCACCCAGAAACGTTGCATAAGTTTCCTGTATAATTTTAGCCTTACCAAATTTTGTCTCGCTAGTTTTAATTTTTCCCAGATCTGAGCTGAGGAGATGCAGGCACGGAAAGGGCTGTGGAACAAGCCCCTATCAAAGCAGCAGTTTTGTAACACGTTCTTCTGTTACAGAAATTGTGTACGTGGGAGGGGTTGTGTTTTAGGTAGTTGTGCTGTTACGATGTCCTTTGTGTTGCATTGCACAGCAGGGGGGCCTTTAACCACTGGGATGAGGTGATGAACTGCACCCGTATCACCCAGACTGAGTGCAGGTTGCCCTGGTCACTCAAGCAGCGGCGCTGGACTATATTTTTGCGCGTGAGGGCTGAGCTGGGGCAAGTGACTTCTGACTGGGTGGAAACAGACCCGTTTGTGGCAGAGAGAAACAGTAAGTGCTATTTATGTTTTCGGTGTCTCTATTTCAAAGGAGATGTCTTTGAAAAACAGGTGTGTTGTCTCTGCTCTAGACTTCTCTTGACTCTGTTCTGTACAAAAGCCCAGTGAGAGAACTGGATGTGGTTAACAAAGACCACAAGGCCAGGTGTGTCACTAGGAATTTGATACTACTTAGTTTTTCTGTAGCAGGGTTAGCCCTGCACTCTTTCAACAAATATTGAAAGAGAAACAGCTGAGTTTTCTTGGGTGGTTGAGCATTATAAGAGCTACAACGTGTACTTTGTTAGAGTTTTACCTTTTCTTATTTCACTCCTTAGCACAGCCACATGCACACATACCTTGATTTGTTGTAGTCTGAGTACAAACCGCCTGTTGCTACTGCACAGATCCCTTTTCTGATAAGTATAAACTGTCCTAACTACAGTGTAGGAGGATCAAGGGCACGCTTTAAATCCTGTTAAATGTGTGAACAAGCATATTGTTGTTCGTCAGAAGATCTGCCCTTTGCCTAGCTGTGATTAGTTTCAGGATTAGAAGAAAGTAAATGTTAAGTCTAAAAATACCTCTGAAATAATAAATCCATTCCTCTGCTTCAGTATAAACTCTTTAGTTCAAGTTTTCCCATACCTTGTGAGGAGCAGCGGTGGTCCATGCTGCATAGAGTATCATACCTTCCCTGGTGACTTCAGTCCTAAATCTTGGCTTTTCACTAGTAGTAAAGAGCGTGAGAAATTGCCCGAATCCTGCACTGCATTTTATAACTGACTTATCCATAGGTTGTGATGCAGGTTTGTTTGGGAGTGGGATCCTTTGGGAGTTGGGAAAGCACTGGGCTAATGGCGATACAAGACAAAGGAGAGGCTCGGTGTGGAAGAGATGTTTGTGTGTCAGTTCCTTGAAGGAAAAAAAGGAACATTATGTGACCATTCTCATGTGACCGCCCTCGAGATCGGTTCCTAGACACCAAGACTCTTTTGGGCTGTCCTCTTCCTTTAATGTTTGGATTGGTCCCACTCAAAAGGGGAGCTTCAGGAATTTGTGAGGACACACAGCAAGGCTTTTACAGTTGTACAGCAACAGGAAGGAGAAAGAAACTGAAATTTCTCTACCTATATGAAGATCATGGAGGCCAATTTTCTCTAAAGTAACAGTGGACAGGGCAGGTTCTGTTGGGTTTTTTTGAGATACAATAAGCAATGATTGCATGCCTTGATTATTTTTTTATTATTATTTATTTACTGTTAATATTTACTCCTTTAGTGTGCAAGCAGCTGTTAGCTACTCAAATATTTGCATGAGTGGGGTTTTGTTTGAGATCCTGGAATGCTTTATGAATGCTGATAAGCTTAAATGGTGAAAGAAATCAAGGTACAATGGATAAATGACTAATGATCATATGTGACCTGTGATCACACAAGTCTCTTGTATTAGGACTGACAGTACTTTTATATAATATTTTGCACAATTTAGGCCTCAGAGTACATCAAAAAAGGAAGTCATCATCTTTACCCTATGGGACAAAGCAAGGAGGGGGAAACTATTTATTCCTCTTCCAATCTATTGACCTGAACAGTGTGGGTTTTGGAGAATATGGAATACATAGCATAAGAAAAAAAGAAGAAAGGAGGAGGAGGGGGAAAAAAAATGAAAGAAAATTGTCACCATTAACCACAGATAAATTCAGTTACATTCTAGTGAATATTTACTGATTTTTCCAGGGAAAGTTAACGGGAAACTTTTTTTTTATACTATCTAATTTCACTTATGCTTTCAAGTCTTTTTCCTTATATTTGTACTAAAGTAGATATCTTAAATTTATGAAGTAAATGAGAAAAAGCTGTTGATATTTAGCATGTTTTCTGAGAATATCTAGGTAAAGCTGGAGGCGGTATGATGAGTGGTTCTGCAGCCCAGAGGTTCACTGCTCTTTCTGTGTTTATTTTCAGCTACTATAGGCCCCCCTAAAGTGAACAGCGTGAATGCAAGCTCCAACTCACTTCTCATTAGGGTCACACCCCCTTTTGGATTCGAAATGGGTGACTTTCTTGAGTATCGTGTGTTCTACTGGGAGAACGAAACACGTACTACTAAAGTAAGTAGAATTTAGTAAGTTAATTAAGTAAGAATTCTCTCTGATTTATTTTCTTCATAGTGGTTTTGTGACTAAGAGACATGAATCAGTGTTTCTTTGCAAAACAGCAGAAATGGAGCAAGAGAGCTAATGTCATTTTTTTTCTTCAGCAGTGTTGGTCACCATTTGGAGTCTTGAAAAAAAGTTAGTTTCGTCTTGGCACAAGTATTGCATGTATTACAAAACTTTCAAAAACTTCTGTTTTTTTTTTTCTCCATATAAAACAAAGGTTAAAAGACCCTGCAGACCCAGGGAGAGGATCCACAAAGTGTCAAAAGTGGCTTTAAAACGGCATTTAGATTCCAAAGTTTGCTTAGGCAATTTGGAAAGCTCTGAAGTACCCTTTCTCCTTTCCTGTGCTAGGTTTGTTTGTGCTGGCAGCTTCAGTAACAGGCTGCTCTGGCCTGATGTTGCCTGTTCCTCAGACAGAGAAAGGTAGAGTTATCAGAAACACACTGGACAGAGCTGGGATGAGATCTCCCTGTTTGTATGGAGGCTTAGAGGTGTTGGTCTCATTGTGTGCTTATGCTGTCTGGGAGCCTGGTGATTGTGGTCTTGACAGGCCAGCGTTGCAGGGGAGGGATTAAGATAGACTTTAAAAAAAAAAAAAAAGAAAGAGGAAGAAGATTCACAAGAACGTCATTTTAAAGTCAAATGTTTAAAAAAAAAAACAGAAGCAGAAAAAAATTATTTAAAAGGCCTTTTCGTTTCAAGGATCTTGCTAAATCTGAAACGCCTCTGCTTCCTTCCTGTCTTGCACCAATGTGTATTTTTCTGACACGCATGAAATACCCTCGTGTTTGGGATTCAGACAAGTAGTCATTCTTGTGTGCTGCTGTCGGCCTCACCGAGGCCCTTATCCTAGCCCCTCACTGATTAGAAATTCCCAAAAGACCGTGGTGGCCGTGTGGAGACTGTGGAGGTTTTGCACTGCCCGTCAGCTGTTTTCCTCTTCAGCAGAAGGAGCGGAGATGGTGGAAGCCCTTCACTGACCTCCATTTCCGTCAGCCTCCTCAGATGGTGGAGGCACTTCTCATGCCTTGTTTTTCCCTGCCCCTCCTACGCTGAGCTCACTGCCTGAGCTCTTACAGAAGCTGCCTCAAAGTGTCCAGCAGCAATCAATTTTCATACCTCTGCTACTTGTGCCCTTATAGTGGGTTTTATATGGTCAGGCTCAATTTCATTTAAAGATAATGACTTTTCAAATGCATTCAAGTAGGAAAGTTGAAATATAGTTCACTGCTTCTCTTGTTTGGGAAAGGTGCATTATAAAAAATAAAATCTGTGGTTTTTTGAATGAGAAACTTTAATATGTGGAGGGGATTTGTGTTGCACAGGTCTGTGTTTTTACAGTAATACTTTTTCTTTCTGTGTGTCTTTTGAACAGGAGACAAAGACGAGCAATACACTATTCAAAATTGGAAATCTAAAGGAATCGACACTTTATTGTTTTAGAATTCAAGTAGAATTGAGGCAGTTACTTGGACTGCAAAGTGCCCCAGAGTGTCACAGAACTACAATCAGTGGTATAAATCCGATTTTGTTACTCTTTTTTTTTACATAACGGGATGAGTGTAGAACATGAGTCTTAGATCATGTAACTGGTTATCAGGAGCGCTAAGAGAGCACCACCAAAAGGAGTTCACAATTGTCATTAATGGCAAAATAATATGGACTTTTTCAGTCAGTGACTGAGGTACAGCTGTGTTGTACTCTTCCCCTTGTCCTTTTCCTTCATAAGAAATACTGCTATGGGTACTGCCTTGTAGAGAGAAAATGCAAATAGTTTAGAGGAAGTCATTGAAGAAGGAGATAGAGTTAACTCTTGCAAATCTTCTCCCTCAGCCACTGCCTCCTGCAGGCTGTGAACATCCCTCCCCTCTCTGACCTGCTTCGTTCTCTGACATGTCGAGCTCCACGTTTTTGTACAAGATAAGACAGAGGGTGAGGGCAGGAGAGGAGAGGGCATGTGCAAGATAACGGTTTGTCCCTCTCTTGAATTTCTCTGTGTGACCATGAACACACAGGCACAACTGATCTTTAGCACGCTTTAAACACACTGGAAGACGTGTCGATGAAACCTGCTTACAGAGTTTCTGAGGCCCCACAGGAGCTGACCTCCTGGGTAGCATTCACCTAGTTAAAGTAGTTGATCACAAGCCCTTGAGCTGTGATGTTGGAGCCTGTGATACTCCCTTTGCTGAAGGCAGATGTGAGTGAAGCCCCTGGCATAATGGCCCTTGCTGGCAACTTGAGGGAGGAATGAATTCCCTGCCTGCCCTCTGCCTGCCAGCAGGGATTCCTCCAGCTCTGCATTTGCCATGCAAGCGAGCGTCACAAGTAGCAGCTTGCCTTAGGCTGTGTGATTAAGAGGGAGAGGCTCCTGGGAGCTGGTCACTTCCAAGGGTAATCACAAACCTAGAGTGCATCTATAGTAGGGTTGTGATCTTAGCCTTGGAAATTATGTATTGATTACCAAGTATAGTAAATTTCAGCTTGCTGTATGTTGTTTTACATTTGATGATGTATAAATATGAACCTGTCATATGTATAGAGGTGTTGGGTTTTTTTCTTTTTCAGAGGCAACCAGAGATCAATATGTTATACTATTTCTGTTGGCGTTACTTTTTGTAGTGCTGGTAATAGTTGGTTTGTTTCTTCTGTGGAAATACCGCAAAGCACTTAAATACTGGTCTCAGCCACCTCTAGAAATCCCACCACATTTCGAAGAGGTATGTGTAGACATTTTATATTTCTGCTCCCCTCACCCCCTGTAAAACATGGTGATGATCTTCCAGTGAATATGAACAAAGGTAGTTGTTGCATAACAGAAACAGATATAAATAATTCTCGACTTCGCGTATGAGAAGAGTAACAGTTTACACTATCTTCCACTTTATTCCTCTTTTACTGAACTGAATTATTTTTTTCTAAGATACAAATGCTGCTATAATCCTGTGATGAAACTGGGGTAAGAGTCTCTGTTCCTTTACTACCCCTTGTCTGCCCCTTTCTTTGCTTTATCTAAGTCATCAGGCCTGAAACAGTTGCTCACTTGAAGTAAAACCTTTTGCGTGCTGCAGAACATGTGTGTAGGGTCTACGTCTCTGATTAGAAATCAAATTTGGAAAAGCGAAAACTGATTCTTTTAAGAGCAAGGACTGACTTGAGGACTAAAGACTACCTAGGGGAATGTTCTTGGGCTTTTTCTTTCATTCCTGTAGTTTTAGCAACTAAACTAAGTCATCCTGGGACTTTTTTTCTCCTTGTAGCTCACACATTTCTGTACTAAACAATATTGTTTCAGTCCTGTTCATCTTCCTCTTTTTAGAATTTAAACAGGATGTTGTCTTTAAGGCAAGCTCTTGATTTAAAAGTTCTTGTTGAGCATAAATTCCGTATTTTTAAAAGCTTGTATTTGTTTGCAGTTCTTTGAGGCGTATTTCTTTGTATATATCTGGGTGTCAGAGTAGTCTGCTGTGCTATGGAGTTCTGTGATTGGGGAGCTGTTTCTCCAGATCTTTATAGAAGTACGGGTGAATGAACCCAGACTTTCTGCAGAGTCCTGAGTACATCATTTTCTCTTCATGCTTCCTCAGCTACTACTTCTTTATCTTTATGCATATCAAGCAAAATATATCTCATGTAGGAAAATAAAATCCTTGTACAGTGTACTACAATAGCACAGCACTTCATGTGAAGAGCTTTCAAGAGTAGAGTCTATCATCATGTCTTCTGGAGTAATTGTATTAATCTGGAAAATATGCAGAACAAGTAGATACCCTTGAACAACAGCGAGCCTGGGGTTGGGCAAAACACTGGTAAGAAATGAAGGAAAATCAGTAAATATATGGAGAATTCTTAAAATGCGTATTTCTAAAAGGGATCAACCAGCCTGGGGCTTCTCCTTTTAAAACACAGGAGCACAGAATACTGATTATTTTAAGGCAGTTTCGTATGTATGCTTTTAGATATTCAGAAAAACCACATGCTTCCTCCTTTTACAGAAGGATCTCAGCTTTCAGCGTTTGAGTTACAGGGAGCAGTTTGACCACAGAAACACCTTCACATAGCAAAGCCAACCTGAGGTTCATTTATGTCTTGAATGTGCTCAAGAGGATGTCTTTGAGCTTCCTGTATGAAACATTTTGTTCTGATACACCTGAAAAAAAAAAAAAATCCCTTTTCTCATTAGCCTTGCTGTGATTATGGAGAAAGTGGTGCTTTAATTGAAACTAAGGGTAATTTTGTCCCACAACAGACGTGATTTGAGCTGCAGTCACATCGCAGCCAGATTGTGGCACCTCCTACAGTGCAGAACAAGCTTTTGAGTAAAAACTGCAAGCTATGTCAGTCTTTTAATGGGGTGAAGGTGTCTGTGTTCCAAACGTGGGATTTTTGTTGGTGTTTTGTTTTGGTTTTTTTTTTAAATCAAGGTGGAAAGTGTTGAATGGCAGGTTTTTGTTGTTCAGCACACGAAGGGATAGATGGCTCCAATTCCCCATGAAACACAAGATCCAGCTGAGTGATAAAGAGAGTACATGGGGGTGTTGGGAGGAACAGAAAGCATCTTCTCTCGCCTACATTTTTTTTCTGATGCTCCTTTCTTTGATGGTGCATTCATTGTAAAGCTGGTCACTTAATTTTGGAGGAAAGCAGGGCAGAGGGGAAGTCAAAGCAAAAAAGGAACTGCAGGAGAAGAATGTCACTGGAGTTTTCTGGCACCTAGAGTGCATCTATAGTAGGGTTGTGATCTTAGCCTTGGAAATTATGTATTGATTACCAAGTATAGTAAATTTCAGCTTGCTGTATGTTGTTTTACATTTGATGATGTATAAATATGAACCTGTCATATGTATAGAGGTGTTGGGTTTTTTTCTTTTTCAGAGGCAACCAGAGATCAATATGTTATACTATTTCTGTTGGCGTTACTTTTTGTAGTGCTGGTAATAGTTGGTTTGTTTCTTCTGTGGAAATACCGCAAAGCACTTAAATACTGGTCTCAGCCACCTCTAGAAATCCCACCACATTTCGAAGAGGTATGTGTAGACATTTTATATTTCTGCTCCCCTCACCCCCTGTAAAACATGGTGATGATCTTCCAGTGAATATGAACAAAGGTAGTTGTTGCATAACAGAAACAGATATAAATAATTCTCGACTTCGCGTATGAGAAGAGTAACAGTTTACACTATCTTCCACTTTATTCCTCTTTTACTGAACTGAATTATTTTTTTCTAAGATACAAATGCTGCTATAATCCTGTGATGAAACTGGGGTAAGAGTCTCTGTTCCTTTACTACCCCTTGTCTGCCCCTTTCTTTGCTTTATCTAAGTCATCAGGCCTGAAACAGTTGCTCACTTGAAGTAAAACCTTTTGCGTGCTGCAGAACATGTGTGTAGGGTCTACGTCTCTGATTAGAAATCAAATTTGGAAAAGCGAAAACTGATTCTTTTAAGAGCAAGGACTGACTTGAGGACTAAAGACTACCTAGGGGAATGTTCTTGGGCTTTTTCTTTCATTCCTGTAGTTTTAGCAACTAAACTAAGTCATCCTGGGACTTTTTTTCTCCTTGTAGCTCACACATTTCTGTACTAAACAATATTGTTTCAGTCCTGTTCATCTTCCTCTTTTTAGAATTTAAACAGGATGTTGTCTTTAAGGCAAGCTCTTGATTTAAAAGTTCTTGTTGAGCATAAATTCCGTATTTTTAAAAGCTTGTATTTGTTTGCAGTTCTTTGAGGCGTATTTCTTTGTATATATCTGGGTGTCAGAGTAGTCTGCTGTGCTATGGAGTTCTGTGATTGGGGAGCTGTTTCTCCAGATCTTTATAGAAGTACGGGTGAATGAACCCAGACTTTCTGCAGAGTCCTGAGTACATCATTTTCTCTTCATGCTTCCTCAGCTACTACTTCTTTATCTTTATGCATATCAAGCAAAATATATCTCATGTAGGAAAATAAAATCCTTGTACAGTGTACTACAATAGCACAGCACTTCATGTGAAGAGCTTTCAAGAGTAGAGTCTATCATCATGTCTTCTGGAGTAATTGTATTAATCTGGAAAATATGCAGAACAAGTAGATACCCTTGAACAACAGCGAGCCTGGGGTTGGGCAAAACACTGGTAAGAAATGAAGGAAAATCAGTAAATATATGGAGAATTCTTAAAATGCGTATTTCTAAAAGGGATCAACCAGCCTGGGGCTTCTCCTTTTAAAACACAGGAGCACAGAATACTGATTATTTTAAGGCAGTTTCGTATGTATGCTTTTAGATATTCAGAAAAACCACGTGCTTCCTCCTTTTACAGAAGGATCTCAGCTTTCAGCGTTTGAGTTACAGGGAGCAGTTTGACCACAGAAACACCTTCACATAGCAAAGCCAACCTGAGGTTCATTTATGTCTTGAATGTGCTCAAGAGGATGTCTTTGAGCTTCCTGTATGAAACATTTTGTTCTGATACACCTGAAAAAAAAAAAAAATCCCTTTTCTCATTAGCCTTGCTGTGATTATGGAGAAAGTGGTGCTTTAATTGAAACTAAGGGTAATTTTGTCCCACAACAGACGTGATTTGAGCTGCAGTCACATCGCAGCCAGATTGTGGCACCTCCTACAGTGCAGAACAAGCTTTTGAGTAAAAACTGCAAGCTATGTCAGTCTTTTAATGGGGTGAAGGTGTCTGTGTTCCAAACGTGGGATTTTTGTTGGTGTTTTGTTTTGGTTTTTTTTTTAAATCAAGGTGGAAAGTGTTGAATGGCAGGTTTTTGTTGTTCAGCACACGAAGGGATAGATGGCTCCAATTCCCCATGAAACACAAGATCCAGCTGAGTGATAAAGAGAGTACATGGGGGTGGTGGGAGGAACAGAAAGCATCTTCTCTCGCCTACATTTTTTTTCTGATGCTCCTTTCTTTGATGGTGCATTCATTGTAAAGCTGGTCACTTAATTTTGGAGGAAAGCAGGGCAGAGGGGAAGTCAAAGCAAAAAAGGAACTGCAGGAGAAGAATGTCACTGGAGTTTTCTGGTAACAGGAAAAGACGCAGATCTGAGTGGCCTGACGCTGAACAAAGCAGAATCTTGTATCTCATTTGCTCCACCCAGCGCTTCGGACAAGCTGTCAGTTGAGATTCCTGCAGTTGGAGCAGTGTAATAAAGAAGTAGCTTCTTCTGTGGCTTATTCTTAACTAGTAGGAATTTGCTTGAACTGTGATGAAAAGTCAGTTTTTATTAAAAAGAAATAGGAAAGGCAGGCTGCTTTAACTCACTTAAATGAATATTTGTGTGAGTAATTTAATATTTTTTTTCACAGAAAGAAGGTATTTTTAACTTTCTCCTTGTTCAATACAGTTTTAAAGAAATCTAGAATAGAATCTACATTTAGCAGCTCTCGATGTGAATTGTGGTCTGAAGCAGCTTGCCCATAGGTGGTGGTACCTGCTCTGTCTCTGTGATTTCTAGTACAATCTGTTCTGTGGATAGTTCTCTAAACGGGTGTTTCTGGCTCTTTGCAGTACCTGAAGGACCCTAGCGTGCCCGGGTTAGATGCGTTGGTCAATTATGTCGAGGACGATCCCCAGGATTCTTTATCATCTGTTCTGTTTTGTGGTGAAGAAAGCCACACCTGTGGCAGCAGTTTGGACGTTCAAGGTCATTCACGCAGCATCTCCAGTGGAAATGAAGTAACTTAAGCAGCGCCCCAGTGAGAGTGCCTGTGCCAGCCAGGTCTGTGCAGAAACTCCTGCCCACCAGCAGCACCGCGCAGCTGCCAGGTGACAGACAACGGGCTCTGGACAATACGTGGCTACCGACAAATCCCGAGTGAGATGTTGCTTCCTGAGACTAGAGTGGCCCCTGAGCCTGTGTTTACGTGGCCTCTGCTGTGCTGCAGCTGCAGCTGTGTTCTGCCAAAGAGACTGAGAAGGTGGAATGTGAAAGGGAAATGAACACTAAATTGCCGGAAGAAAGACAGATGGTTATAAAACGGTTATATTTACACCATCATGTTTCCCACCCCAAATCGAAATAAAGCTTTGAGGAATAATGGCACTTTATGGTAGGATGTAGTACAACCTTGGATTTTTCAGTGCGTGATTGCATCATGAATACTTTTATAGCATCTTTTGCTTTGTTGCCTTATGGGTGAAGTCTGTGTTAGCACTCAACATGTAATATCCACCCCAGTATGCTTTTTCCGAATAATTTTAAGTACACACGGTCTTCTGGGGCAGCTTCTTCCCTCCAGATCAAAGTGGAAGTCTAAAAAAGAAATTTTATAGGCCTTTATTTTCTTCAGCATGAACCTGTGCAAAGAAAGGCCTCCTAATGGCTGCCTCCCAACACATTCATGAAAAGCATTAATCTTCTTCTCCTGCAGTGAGAAAGTCGTTCTTCACAGCAAAACAAACTTTGAAGTAATTTTGCTCAGAATTTGTATAATATGTATCAGGAATTATCAGACACTAAAATCTCTTGTTGAATACCAGATTAGTCCTGCAAGTGGAAAGTTGACTGAGGGTTGTGGTTTTTAGTCCCTTAAAGCAGAAGACGGCAAGTTGAAGTCTCACATCGCAGTCCTGCGGGGTCCAGAAGGTATCTAATAAGCACAAAGAACCAATGAACCACTTCTGTACTAAAAAGGTTGGTTTTATTTGCTTGATCTTTTTCTTGGTTTTGATACACAGGTTGTTTAAAAGAAAAATAAATAACTGTGCTTGTCTATTTGCAAATGACTTCTTCAAGTTATTTAGGTCTGTTAATGAACCTGGTCACTGTCAGAGCTGTAAGTTATCTGAGGCAAATGCTGTTCCACCTCTTCCAGGAACACACAAGACTAGCATGAAAAATCAGTAACATTTTTTTTCCAGAAGCTTCCTGAGGTGGTTGCCTCACAGAACTAGTCTAATCATTTCAGATTGGGCAACATACCGAGACCTTGTAGTTATCTGAAGACTTAGTCATACTTTCAAAGGTGGTAATAATTTTCAAGTCAGCCTCAAGCTGCATAATACCTGCTTTTAGGTTCATCCATGTTCTTTTTATACACTGTGCTGTAAGCAAGGGAAGAATCACAGCCTCACAAATGGAACACCCTACCTGCGTACGCGAGGACACAGATGAGAAGGCAGTTAAAACATCCCCTGTGAGTATACAGCAAAACAGCATACAACTTCCTGATTAAGCCCTGCACTAGACTTCTGTCAAAGATAATTGTTACTAAATATTTTTACAGCTAGACAAATGGGCCAAAGTTAAAAACCTTTTTGTTAGGAGTAACTCAAGGGTTTATCTTCACTACTGCCAACTGTAGCAGGCCAAGGTGTTACATGAAATGAGCCATCCCTACCTACCTTGGCCTGCATTGGAACTACTGCAGGTGTAAAAGTGGACCTCAGGATATTCTGACTGAAGCCTGGGTGGTTCTTCTGCTATGTCTGTTCTCACATCCTCAGAGTTGTCTCTCTTCTGAAAGAAAATCTGGTTTTTAACCAGGAATTTGCATTAAAAAGTACACTGTCAAAGTTCTTCCAGAGTCAAATGCTTAACTCGTGCTGTTCAAGTGTGATGGAATCTTCCACCTGAGTGGGATTAGTTATAGCTCAGTTAAAAAGCCACCAAATATTCCCAAGCTCTGAAGCAAGAAACTGACAGACCTGGAAACAAAAACCTTGGTTTTACCTGTTAGCTGGTGTAAGACTTCCTTAAAGTTCAGTACAACTTGAGCTATTGAGCACTGTACAATTACTTGGTGAAGTTCACTATTTTGAGAACATAAGATAAAGTTTATTGCGGTTTTCTGAAATTACAACCAAACAGGCAACTTATGTACAAAGCTCTGCTTAACGCCAGTGACTACATCCTAACTCGCTGCGGGCTGGTGACATGGAGATGCCGTTAGTCTAGCCAGTAGCACAATTTCAGCTGCAGTATTGGCTTCATATTCTGTCCACTGGAGAGATTCCCACAAGGGAGCCGTTAAGAGGACTAACAGTGTACAGTAACCATGCACAGAAGTTACATTCTGCAGTTTAATACCAGGTTGGTCAGCGATCTTGATACGTGGAAAGATATAAAAGCTTTTAGACACAAGGCAGATTCAAATGCTTTAAAAACCACATAGAACTCAGGAGGTAAGGAAGTCACTAATAGCAAGATGAATATACGAGGTCAGCCCAAAACTATAAAATGTCATTGTTCGCCCTTTCTGTGTACTCCAGCTAGAAAAAGTGGGATTTCAGTAGCATTCTCATGAAGTGCCCATGAAATTTAGGAGATAAATACATTTTTAACAGGGGCAAATGGCAGTCCTAAAACTGGCAATTATTTCAAGGTAAGATTGTTAGCAATAAATACATCTACTGTATCCCCACTTGAAATGCTTGCCTTTTAAATAGAAAAGATAACAGGAGGATAACTGTTCATTTATCAGCAAAAAGCTTCCCCTGAAAAAAATTCTGCTAGCATAATTTTAAAGATGTTACTTTGATTCTCACTTATTCTTTATACTTCTTAAGTATGACTGGCATCAGTTTTGGTCTTTTTTTTTTTTTTTATTCTAATATCAGTAAATATATTAAATACTAATTGGTATCTATTACACTGAACACAGCATGAAATTAATTCTAAGGACTGTGGTGCTACCAAATGTCATTTGTGCTATAGCCATCAGAAGTCAAGAACAGTTTGATTTGTCATGCAGAACCTGCTTAATATAGGGCCTTGTTTAAAAATTCAGAACCTTTTACAAAAAAATAGCTACTTTATATTTTTCTGAACAGTTATACAAAAATTCTTAAAATCGGCTCTTCTCTCAGCATACAACAGAATTTACCCTCATTAAATCCAGGCTTAGCTGGGGCACATCCACGTGCTGCCCACTCCTTCGGGTTACACAGGCAGCCCTGGCAAAAACCGGCTCTAGCTCATCTACACCTGAACGTGATAACCCCTATGAGAGGGGACAGGCTTTATCCTGCTTGCTCACTAACAGTTCCACTGGAGTCTCTGACACACGTGAAGGTTTGGAAGATCAAGTCTTAGGAGTTGATGGAAAACCCCGTGTTATTTGAAGAAATAAGCCTGAAGATTTCACAAAGAAAGCCTGACATTCCCTTTTTTAAGATATATACAGTCATATGTACATATTCACAAATCTGTCCTGTGAAAAGAGGGAGCTTATTACAGAAACTGTAATTTGTCTCAGTCCATACAATTTAGAAAGCAAAACAAGAACAAATAAATGTAAATATATCTACATACATAGTACGACATAGCAACTATGGAAGAGACAATGCTATACGTGATCTCTCATCCCCATAACTCTTCTGTTCTTCCAAACTTGTAGATTAGAGTACTAAAAGGGAAAAAAAAAAAAAAGAAAAAAAAAAATCAGACCATACCTAAGGTGGAAAAAGCAATTTTAATAGTATCCTTATAATTTTATATTATCTAGACCGCAAATCAACACCCTTCCAGTAACCTTAACTTTTACTCAAGTCAGTATCTGGTTTTTGTACTTCTATTTAATTTAGTGTACATTGCTAAAACCGTGAGATCCAGCTGAAGGCACTGCTCAAATGCAAAAATAGCCAGTCTCACGGTAAAAGCAGCTGCCTTTCTGAAAGAAAGAAATTCTGGTATTTAAAAGATTCTAGGGCCAATCCACAGAGTTACAGGGCAGCAAGTCTCATCCTGGCATCACACTAGGATAGAATCTAAGCAATTAAATTTTTATGAGCACGTCAGAAAGAATATTGATCCTGTGGTGGATAAGTGAGATCCAAATCGCAATTTGATTTCCAAAATTCTTTTTCTAAGGTTGGATGCAATTAAATATTGTTTTGAAACAAAAAAACATTCGGGAACAAAACCAAGCATGATTTCCTTATGGTTCCTTATACCTTATTTTTTTCTTACAGCCAACAAACAGAAGGCAAAGAAGGGCACAGTCACACTAAATCATAAGGGAATGAAGAGGGAGGGAAATGAGAAATACTGACACTGAGAACAACAATAACAAGTGATGATAAGTACAACAAGCTAGACACCTGGGCAATTAACTAACTACTAATACAGCATGTTAAACTAAGTAAAAAAAAAAAAAAGCCAAAACTGGTAGAATAACAAGTAGGGCTGCAGCACAAGTCCTGAAGGAGAGATGTGGTTCAAGGAATAAAGACATTATGGAACAACACTGATGGAAGAGAATCTGATGCAATCAGAACAAAAGCTTTGGATAAGCACATTGAGAAGGGCATCGCTGATTGACCCAGGTCTGGTCTAAAGAAAGGAATCTATGGAAATGGATGGACTCCTCAAAGTTACTGCTAAAGTGCACGGTGAGACAAAACACATAGACTATTTTTTTTTTTAATAAAAAGGTTGTAATTTGTCTCTCAGTTCATAACCAGCAAAAAAAAATGTAGAAGACAAAAGAAAAAAAATTAACCTAAAATATATCTACCTACAGAGTACAATAGAAACTACGGAATGACACTTTCAGAAACAAAAAGCAACTTCAGAAATAAGTTCATCAAACTACTGAAATAAAACTAAAGATTCCATGCATGGTGAAACTATTCTCCAAAGTCTGCCTTCGTCAGTATCGCATCTCAATCATACTCAAGACTACAGAAGAGATTTAGGAACTGTTATTTTCTGCAAGAACATAACTCCAAACAGGGAAGCAGAGTGGAGCCAGTCAATCTAGCTCGCTGCAAAGCATTTGACACCGTACTAGAAGGAAAACTGTTATCACAGTAACTTAAGTGGGTAAGAACTTGAAAAAAAGGAAGTTACGTGAACTTTTTCAGTGATTGATCTCATACTTACACTATTTAATGCATTTGTTGTCTTTTATTAATTAACAAGATTCATGGACTGCAGAATGCATTATGCATATAAAAAGAGTTATGACAGATACAGATAGTTTCAGTGTCATGTGATACACTTAATAATATTAAGCAAAAATAAAAGAAATTTATTTAAGTGTAATATTACAAAACACACCATCATGCTCTTTGAAAAAAAAATATTGCTGTTAATAACTGAAAGCTCTTTCAGTAGAAACAAATCCAGGTGTATCAATTATCAGATAATTGAGCCATTGGTATGAAATAGCCAGAGAAAGGGCAATAGGATCTCCCACCCAGTGCTGTTTGGATACACGCCACGGTATTTGTAGCACAGAGATGAAAGCATTATTGCCATGAGCCAAAGACACTGACAGTATCTCACCCAGAATACTGTCTATGGCCTCGGTCACCCACATTCTACAGCTGTAAATTCAGTGAGACCAGAAAGAGCTGGAGTAACAGGAGCATGAGAGGAACGAAGAGCCTCTCATGGGCTGAGAAGGGACAAATAAAACATTGTTTCTACGCTCTGGAGCAAAGGGAGCAGAAAAAAGTAGCAGAGTAAAAAGTAGTATCAGTTTTTTAAGAAATAGCTTGATCGGTTTATGCGTTGAATAATATCACACCGGTTCTCTGTACAATGTCAGTTCACTCAGTGACTCAAGAGTTGGCTTACATGTCACCCTCCTCAAGTAAAGGTCACAGCAGGTAATAAATTGAAATATTGAGGGTCCTGTATTGAGAGAAGCAAACTCCACATTTTGGAAAGTCAAGCTGCAGTCAGCCTCCAGCTTTCAAAACTCATTTTCCAGGAGTATCAGTGCGCATTGAAACAGGTAAGTCAGATACTCCTTTGGAAGGAAGAAAATTTGCCCAGATAACTTACCTGAAAAATATCAACGCATTTTGGAAAAACACTGCTAATCCAGGGTAAACATTAGTGTCTGCAAAGTAAGTAACAAAGGCAATATTAAGTGCTTTTGTATTGGCAGGTGTATTTAAAACACTATTCATAGTATCATTCTCTGACAACAAAGCTAGATGGTATGGCCCTGACAAGAACAGAGCACACAATTCCGTTCTTCTGGATTTTCTGCCTTTTGGCTGACAGCAAAAGTTACTTTTCTGTATGTGAAAATAAAGGAAAAAAAAATACCCACAAAAAACCCCCAACAAACTTACTCTGTGTCACATATGCTCCAAAAAGAATCCACATTGAAGCAATAAGTGAACCAAACATCAACATAAAGCCAATGAAGAGCCAGATACGAGCACCTGCAGGAAATATTAAAACCTCTGAGATCCAGGTAACTATTATCCAGTGACAGATGATCCAACTGCTAGTGTGATGCAGTATGTTACCGCGCTGAAGGCACAAAGGGAAGTGCTAAACCCTGTATCAAGGACAAGATAAACCAAAATTTGCTTTTTCTAGTACAACACAGAGCAGCTGGATTCCCCACATTTTATTGAGCAGACAAAACTACCAGTTTTCCCTCACCTGTAGGGAATGCCTATAACATCATCTAACACAACTTGAAATGAACTAATGAGGTACTTTGCCAAAGCTATAGTGTTTCTGCAGTAAGCGTTTACTTCAAAAAGGTATTTTCAGATGGACAACATCTACCATAGCTAGACTTTACCTGCTGAAAAAAAAATGATGCCACTGAAAATGATCAACCTGCTCACTCATGGGAAAGGAAAAAAATACGTCTATGCAAAGATTCTCTTGAGCTGATTTGTAAATGAGACACAAAAAAGCGTCATACGCTAGTTCAAAGATCAGCAAATCCTACCAGATTTCTGGTGAGGCATTCTATGAATCACATGAAAACAGATGCTGGGATCCACATGGGAGATAGTAAGGGAATTATGAATGAAAGCAGAGAGAGGACAGCAGGTCCACACACACCACACAGTAGGCGACATAGAGAGGAAAGAGAATATTTGTGATACATTCTAAAATAAGACATTATTAAGTAAAGTGTGCTCTGTAGTCTACCACAAGGCAGAAATTTACTTCTTCCAGCAGCTACATAGAGGACTGGCAAAGGGACGTTTAGGTATTCAAGACATACAGAAGTTGGATTTTTTTAAGTTCACCTTTTTAACAAAGACAGTACTTATCTCCAAGTGTTACTTTTGTAAGGAAATTAACTTCACATAAGTTCTCTCCTACTCCTTAACTTCTGATTATTATTTGTTTAACCATCACTTAGGAAAAAAAAAAAGAAAAAACAAAAAAACAACACCTAAATAATCAGTCTTTCAACTCAGCATGATTTTTAGAGTTAATTTACCTGTTCTTCCTAAACATCCGTCACTGTAGCTGTCTCCTCTCACCTGTGCATTTGATACAGCATTTATCCTAGGAACAAAAAAGTGCACACGCTTCAGATTAAAACTGATTTTCTAACAACATTATAAGTAAAAAAATAGCTTTTTTAGAGATGCAACTAATTCTGGGAAAATTACTTGGCATTCTGTATAGTGACATAGTAGTACATGTCCCCTAATGGAAGGACTCCAACTGGATTTCAAGCAAATCCTGTATTTGTTCATAAGTTTTCTTTAAATTTTTACAAGAACAGACCTGTAAGATGAAAGAGTTGCCCTACTTAGAGACTGAAGTATTCCTGATTGCTATCTGGCTGTTTAAGTTTTTAGAATATCTAAAGCCACTTCACAGGAATAGTAACAGCCAGTAACACAGTGCTCTCATGATTATGATACGAGTTGCTTTCCTTCAGAGTGAATACTGTTAAGTGTTCAATTGAAAGACACGGTGTAAGGAGGGACAATGCATTTTCTTAAAATGAGTTACACTGCTGAGGAAAAAAAAAATCAGGAGCTTTCAGATACCAAGTGTTAAGAAGATCTAGCATGTCTAAATGCATCCTTTTTTTCTTGTCCACATCGTAAGATTAAAAAAAATTCTATTACTTCTCCATCAAGCTTGCCACATTTACATCTTTATAACAATAGGTATAGTACTGCTACCTCTCCCATTTGAGGAAGTTTTGGGAGAGAGACAACTGTAAAAAATTATTTAAGAACAGGGGAAAACACGGTCAAATATTTTATATTGAGGTAAGTAACTGGGCAGCATTACATGAATTTTGATCTAGGAATCTAAAGACTTATAGAAAGCCACTTGGGTAAAGGAAGGCCTGCTTTCTTAGGTTCAGCCAAAGTGCACAGGAACAGGGGGACAGACAGAACAATGAATAAAAAGACTATGATCAGAAACAGAGGCCACAGGTAAAAAAAAAAAAAAGCCTTTACATTGCCATCCAATAAGGTACAACAAGATTACTCATAAGTAACTTATAACCAAGTGATTCAAGTTTTACCATATACCATATTGTCTAGTAAAAACCGTGATTAACAACTCACATTTATAAGAGCTCCCTTTATATACACTTACATGAAAAAAGCTAGTGTTGAAAACACCCCACAGGTATGGAACGCGTGGTTCAGTTGTTCTGGCCTAGGGTAAACTACTGCAGCATCTATCATTATCCACCAACCTGTAAAAAACTACAAATAAAATAGACCAGTATTATGAGGCTGGAAGGGTACAAAGCGGACAAAACATGGCAAACATTCATGCATACCATCAGTTTAACTGTCTTTTAACAAGTAAAAGCTAATAACTTTCTAGAATAGTTTGAAGTCGGACTCTTATATCTGTTTGAAGTGCAAGTTCTGCATAAATCTTAATGCTGATGTTTTCAGGAGAGCATTTGGAAATCTGTCACATTTTCTATTCTAATTAATTATCAGTGTGTGGTTAAATTCCCCATAGCTTTAAGACAAGAATCCAGATTCTAAACACATATGAGATACAAACTATGTATAACGTAGGTTCTAACATATCTGATAATGCAAAAAATCCACTAGGAATTTAAATCTTTTTTAAATAAGAGATAGCAGAAATGGTACATCATTATCAGACAAAATGCAAAGTTATGTGACTTGTAAAAAAGCTGCTTAACAATGATACTTGGAAAAAAAAAATATATACTGGACTGAGGTGCAGTTAAGAGTGAAACTTCACAAAATCTGAAACAAAAATGTAACTGTTTGTCGTACTACCAAATTTGTCAACACAGTTATGATTCACATCCTCTCAGAACTTACCAATACACCTGCAACTATTGAAGCGATGGCATTTCTTCTTTCACTCCAATCAATGCACTCACATTCTGGCCACCGGAAGTTGTCTAGGAATCCTGCCATTTCCT